ATACTCATCAGGCAGACAACAGGATCGTGGAGCGATGCTGTCGCTGTCTCAGGTTTGCTGTACGATGTGTAGGGAAAGGCTCCGCCTCCCTGCTTCAGCCACTCGTCACTCAGGTGAGACACACATCACATGTCATTTAGCTGACGCTTTTATCCAAAGCAACTTACAATAAGTGCATTTCAACCATAAGGATACAAACCCAAAAGAACAAGAAGCAAGAAAGTGCAATTTCATCAAATTTTTATTTGATTTATGACTTACCAATTGTAGAACTAAAAGTTCTACAATTAGTTTTGAACGCACCTCGACCTGTTGGGTTTTCTTCAAAGGGTTGCGGAGGACTGATTGGATGTCACAATAGATCAGTAATATTGACGTCTAATTAACAAGTCGCGTTTCTTAGTTCAGGTGATAAATCCAAACCCAGAAAGAACCGTAAAATAAATGGTATGTCATCCATCTGTTTATGTTTGACTATTTGTATATCAGTTCTCTCACACTGTGTTGTCTTGAATACTCAATTCATGCGTTTAACACACCTGTATGAGTGCAAATGTGTCAATCGCGTTTTCATTTTAACAAACTTTTTTCGTCATCAGATGGTAAGTGTGTACCAGGTGTATCCACACTCCTGTTTCCTATACCTGGGCAGCATTCTCGTGGACGAGTATGGCATGGAGGAGGGTTGCCGGCAAGGGCTGCTCGACATGTTACAGGTAAGCACACTCAGTTAGTCGTGATGGTCTGTATAGAACTGAATGACGCTAACGGGACGGTACCTGTTGTACGACTGGACTGGTGGGTCGCTGCTCACCACCAGCCAAGAAGCGTAAGCGTTTTTGGGGTCATTGTGTGACTGTGGTGTGGCCAAATACATAAATAGAAACACTGATCTATTCTGACCCGATGATCTCCCGCCCTGCAGGCTCTGTGTATGCCGACTTTCCAGCTGTTGGAGCAGCAGAATGGTCTGAGGAATCATCCTGACACCGTGGATGACCTGTTCAGACTGGCCACCAGGTGAGTCTCCAGGTTCACCTGAAGACATTTATCTACCCTAATCTCTACCTGTACTTTCACAGAACAGAGCCCGTACAGAGTAGTCGGGACCAGCGCCTGTAATTGGGAGAGTTAGTGGGATTGTTATTAAAGTTAGATATTCTTTCTGTGTGGCCACGGTACTAAATAGCCCATGGACTGGTACCGGTCCACTTTGGACCACTGATTATACTATTAAAATACTGCTGTTAATGTTAAACTGTGTGTCTGTACAGATTACATCACTGCTACATATACTTGTGCTATCTGATGTCCTCTGGTTCAGGTTTGTCCAGAGGAGTCCCGTCACTTTACTCAGCAGCAGCATCATCGTTCACATCATCCAGTGCGCAATCGCTGCCACCTCATTGGATCACCGAGATGCCAACTGCAGCGTGATGAAGTTCGTCCGAGACCTCGTCCACACCGGAGTCGCCAACGATGTCAGTCAACAGGAATACAAAATATTCAAAATAAATTGAAATGTTCCATTTCTGTACCACCAACATGATCAAAAGGTCTGTCCTCAATATTCATATTTGTCTTCTCTAGCATGAAGAGGACTTTGAGGTGAGGAAGCAGCTGATTGGTCAGGCCATGGAGCAGCACGGTCAGCAGCTCATCACTCAGCTGATGCACTCGTGTTGTTTTTGCCTGCCTCCATACACTCTGCCCGACGTGGCCGAGGTGCTGTGGGAGGTCATGGTGTTTGATAGAGCTGTGAGTATAAAGAGTAACAGCGGATCGATTGTATCAGTGCTCATTCACCAGCTCAACTAAACTGTCTTCTGTTTCAGACGTTCTGTCGCTGGTTAGAAAATGCTCTGAAAGGTTTACCAAAGGAGACGTCAGGAGGAGCCGTGACTGTCACTCACAAACAGCTGACTGACTTCCACAAACAGGTCACCAGGTGAGACACTAGCAACATGGTTATGTTCAGGGAGGATGTAAATACTTTTTAATATACTTATTAAAACACCATGAGAATATAGGACGTAGCCTTGTGTTTGACCGAACCAATGGATGAAACTGTTGGGCAGCTTTTGTTTTAGCTTGTTAGCCGTTAGCCAGCTAACATACTGTGCTTGCGTAAACACGGTAGCAGTGGGACATTATGGCTTTTTGTACATGTTCACATCGTGTTATGCTCTCTGTAATGTAGAGGGTTTGTGTTACTGTCGGGTGTTAACATTTCTGTGATGTGAATTCCTGCTGTTAAATGCATTGCAAGTTGAAGAAAGGTAGACTGAAAGCAGTTTAGAGTTCAGAGTTGAGGGGAGAGGGAGGCGTTCAGGTGCATTTACAAGGGACAGCGAGGCGTTCAGGTGCACTTAGAGCTGCCAGTGAGGCGTTCTGAAAGGGTATTTGTTTAGACATGTTTATCTAAATTTGCAAGGCCAAATTACTGTGGTCTTCGTAGCAAGTTGAGGCATGTCCGGGCGAAGGTTTTACCATCAATTGGACATTCTTTCTTAAAGACACTGCAGATTCAACCTGGACAGGTATCACAGATGTTACACCTGCTGAAATGGACCACAGTTGGAGTTACTGCATGCTGCATTCCACTAGGCCAAAGAATTCGTTACATTTTTTCCAGGAAGTCATAATGCAAAGTCCTAGTTATTCATATTTCTGCTTGCTGTCCCCAGTGCTGAGGAGTGTAAACAGGTGTGTTGGGCCATCAGAGAGTTCACCAGACTGTTCCGATAGCTGCACCCTTCACACAACACCAGGTAACTATGGACGCCAGCAACTATACTATATATATATATATATATATATATATACTATATATATATATATATACTATATATATATATATATATATACTATATATATATGCGTATTAGGGCTGGCCGGTATGGCAAAAATGTTATATCACGGTATTTCGTAAGATTCTGACAGTATCTCGGTATATCATTTTTTTTGTCTCATCACATTCATTCATTGACCCCGAAAAGGACCGCCGGCCACCTGAGCAGCTGTTCACCGCTCGCAGGACAACTTGCTCGCAACTGGCTGGCGAGTTAGCTTGTTAGCCGCAGTGGCTGCTAGTGTTGCAACCACACCAGCGGCTCAACCAACTTTGCAATAAATCGTTTTCTGATCTAACTTGCGTCCGTAGTTGAAGATGGAGACAGCTTTTCACATTGGAGTAAAACAAACAGAAGAACTGTACAGAGGAATTCCTCCACGTGTCAAACAGAAGGGGGACGAGTGGCAAATGGACCACTTTAGGCACCACTAGGTTAAGCTAGCTGCTAGGCTACTTCCATCAGGACAGCAGGAAGAGTCGCTAGTTCAACACGTTCTACTTCCAAAATGATCACATGTGCAGAGTAAAATGCAATTAACCAACAGTGTCTAAAATACACGCTATCTAGAGTGATTTCTCATTACTTCATTTAGTCTTTTGAAGGAAAACACACTTTTAATTGTGGTGAAACGAGCTTAGACGACTTTCAAAAGTCTATTGAGAGCCCTAATAAATATATATATATATATATTTTTTTTTTCTTTGGCCATTTTTTGAACAGCCGTTTCTTTTTCCTCAGGTTAAATCTTTTGTTCCAGATGTTGACATCTGTTTCCTCTTCCTCAGGTTAAATCTTTTGTTGACCAACATTCAGAGGTGACGGCAAAAAGCTGCGACTGCAGACAAGGATCCAAAGGGACGAGATGAAGATGATTAAGACGAGGACGGACTTTGAATGTGAAACAGGACAAATAACTCTAAAGGACTGGCAGAGTGAGTTCTCCACCCCGACCCCCAACCTCACCTGACCACACCTGCAGCAGGTGTCAGGTGGGCGGGGTCGGGTCCAGCAGGTTTCAAGTGGGCGGGGTCAGGACTAGGAGGAGTTCACTAAGTGAACTGATGTGGATTAGTCCTGTCGGATCTTCATCAGTAATCAATTGTAGGACGTGCCTGGCCAACAGTTTTTAAGAGAGGATTTATTTTTTGGGACTTTGGTCGTGATGTTTTTTGTCCGTGCCATACAAAGAGCCAAAAGATTTCCCATGATGCTCTTGGCTGAGGGGCTGCCTGTAGAGGCTTAATGCTGGAGGATTTGGCGTCACCTTTGACCTTTTTAACTTTGGTTGACTTTTAGTTGTTTTTCCACAAAGTGAGACAGAGTGAACTCTGGGTAATAAGACGGAGAGACTGACACCATGACATCATCGGTGATGTAGCCTTGTTGTAAACAATAAACAAAAAACAACTGAAAGAACAAATATGTCTGCTTTAGTGTTTTATAGGCGTGTCTGGATTCGTCTCTTTAAGTATCGTGAGGTGTGAAATACCAGGTAAGTTCTGGTTCCTGACGCTGGAGAACCAAACGGTGACCTGTGGCTTGTCCTGAAGGAGAAGAAGTTGCAGCCAGAACATCCAGTACCCGGTGTAGACGGGTGGAGTCAGTCTTTCTCACTCAGTGATAAGCAGATTGCAGACATGAACATTTTTTAATGATCAGTGAGATATTAGAAATAAATCTGACACGTCTGCTGGATGTGAACAATGATGACAAACAGGAACCACCTGTAATGATGACAAACTAAATACAGTGTGTTACTGTATAGTATCAATGTAAAAAAAATATATATAATTACTGTATAATTGACTACTATATAGTAATTATATATATGTGTGTATATATATATTACTGTATAATAGTTTGACTAATATATAGTAATGCACTATGTTATGACTTATCTTTAACAATGTATTTATAGTATTACAGGTGAATATAGCGTAATACCATTGATTAATGTATAATACTGATACTTTACATTGTATTAGTGTTTGTAACTAATATACTTTTTTTATAATGAACTAGGGGTTGTATTGTTTTGTATAGTCTTTTGCTGTATAATACTGCTTTACAATGTTATACTATTCTGTGTATTACAATACCGTAACTGCTAATACAATGTGAAATAATTGAAGCCCGAATGAATAGTCTGGTGTAGTATATAGTGGTGTTTATTGATCGTTGAACATGTTAGAGTTTAAAGGAGAGATCTGTCATAACAATACTTCAAAAAGACTAAACTGTATGTGTATATGTATGCAGACTTCTTGGATCGGTTCTGATGATCACTTCTTTAGTTCAAACGGGAAGTTTCACTTCTAAAGCTGATGTGGAAGGAGCTGTGAAGCTTTAGTTTCACATCAGATGAGATTTAGTCTATCGGAAATGAAGCATTTAGAACCATTGGAATCTTCAACATGTCTCCAGTTTGATTGTCGTTACTCGGAGGAAACCTCCAGAGCCCCTGAATGTGGACCAAGAGACATGGGGGGGCTAGGGCCTCTAGATGTGGACCAGGAGGCATCGGGGGGGGGGATCCCTTGAACCGCACCGTCTGGTCTGGGTTCAGGGCCCCTTGATGTGGACCATAAGGTGTCGGAGTCAAGGACCCCTGGATGTGGATTAGAAGAGTGGGGGTCAAGGACCCCTGTATGTGTATTAGGAGACGTGGGGGCTCTGGGGGCCCTGGATGTGGATCAAGAGACGCTGGGGGTCCACGGCCCCTGGATGTGTTGGCTCTGCAGGAGCCTCTGCAGCTCCTTGAACTGCTCCACCGTCTGGTCCTTCACGTCTGGGTTTGAGATCTGAAGCCGGATGCTGTCGGTGGACCAGCTGAGTTCGCCAGAGAACATCTCTGTCAGGATCCGAGCCACGACAGGAACAACCTGTGAACCAGAACCACAACACGAGATGTCCAAAGGCTCACAGGTATTGCTCAAAGTGTTAAATATCGTAATACCTGCTGGTGGCTATGAGCTCTGATCTTGTAACTATCTAATTTAAATATGTGCAGATATCACTGAGGACCTTGGAGAACTACCTTCTTTTTGTCTTTGTTCCCTTATTCATGCAGCTCTAAAAGTGAAAAAAACAATTTCCTCCTTCAGCAGACAAACATCTAAACCACGATAGTGGAAGAGTGTTGATGAACACACCTGAACAATGATGAGCTTCTTCTCTTTTGGTTTCTTGTCGGGCCAGTCCTCCCCGAAGCAGAAGTAGATTTCAAAGGGGGGAGGGTTCTGCGTCTCTCCTCTCTGGAACAGAATCAGCCCTGCGGATGGACACGTGTTGGCTTGTGAAAAACGTGTTGGGACCGAGCACTCTTCACACTTCTGTGACTCGTCACCTTGCAGGAAGTCGTTGAGGCTGAACACCTTGATCTTCTTCTCCCGCTCCAGGGGGTTCGGTGGACCCTGCTCCGGCATGCCGGGTCCAGACCAGAAGACCTTGCACTGACAGAGGCGGACAGCATAGATGTCCTGCTCCCAGATTTCCAGGATCAGCCCACGGTCCATGACGTCCAGCAGGGCCTCGGTATAGAACCTCTGCTTCTGGTTTTGAACCTCCGACGTCCCAGGAAACAGGACCTGCTGCAGGGTGACTGGTCCAAACAGGTCCACCTGCTCTGGGGTTGGCTCCAGGTGGCCGTAGTAAAGCCTGCAGCCCTGAGGGTTGCTGACGGTCAGCGAACCGGCTGTCCGGCCTCGGTACTGGAACCTCAGGTCAAGGTCTGTTACTATGGACACACAGTGTACCTCTATTACCAAGGCAACACACAGTTATATCTGTTACTGAGGCCAGCTCTGTACAAATTTCTCTATCTGGGAGAAAAATGTGGGGATAAAGGACAACCTCTGAGTGAATGGATGTGTACAAATGTGTTCATATGTTACTGGTGAAGAAATAAATCAATGTAACCCACACCACAAAACTTTGCTGGAATAAATAATGCTCGAGAGTGACGCCTGCCTGTGAAATTTGATCTGATAACGCCCCTAACGTCATTCAAAAGCGACAATAAAAGGGGGATTCATTTCATGATTTTGTTCAAAATGGCAAATTAAGGAGATATTTAGGATTCATACGCTTTGATGACTTGGTGGTTTTTGTACTCTCAATTTGGTTTTCCCCTTTAGCTTCAAAAGATTGTTCAACCTTTGAAACACCAATTTATGGACTAATTTGCAAAGGATATTTTATAACCCAAATTTTGAGCATTTTCAAATGGATCAATGGGGATTGTAGCCAAGACTGTAACGCTTCCAAAGGTGTAAAGCATTCAGATATTTGTTTGTGATGAGTACACAATATTCCTTTGGGAAGTTGGATTTTGCCCAGTTTTGCGCAGTTTGGCGGCTTTTAGGTCATCCCTCGGGTGGAACAGGTTCTACATTCTTTGAGAGCCTTCTAGTTACACCTGTCACTACGACAACAAGCAAAGCCATTTAGATAATGACGGCACATTGTTAGCAAATTATCTTTCTACTATAATACTATAAGACTTTGCCCTCCTTGAATCCTCAAGATCAAGAGTAAAGGTTTTTCTCTTTTCTCTTTGCATATTATAGATAATATGTGGGACAGCACAAGAACCAGGTGTTCAGTCCACCCATCTAAAGATGCTGAGACCTCATCTCCTTGCAACAGGAAACCTCTCGCAGGCCAGAGGTCAGAGGTGCTACTCACGTGGGACGCTGCTTAGCAGGTCATACTTGCTGGGTTGGTGGTTCTGGACGTCCCCCATGTTACTGGCCTCCATCAGTGCCGGCCCAGGGCCAGTGGACTCTGCCGGGCGGGGCAGGGGATTCAGTTCCTGGAGTTTTTTGGAGAGTGATGCACTAGCAAATGGGCAAAAGCTACCCTGAGCCTGGAGGTCAGAGGTCACAGGGATCATGTGCTCAAACGCTGCCTCTGATTGCCCTGGGAAGGAGCTGAAGGAGGGTGGGTCACCCGTCTTGGGGTCTGATGAGACATGACATCATCACATGACATCATCAGGTACGTCTTATCTCCATTCTCAATGAGCTCATAAGTACCTTAAGAGGAAATACTGAGATTGAAACAGATCACATTAATGAAGTCCAGTTCTTATAATATATTTAATGACATGATGTTGTTTACGGCTTTTCTTCATGAACTATCTCGTAGTGGTAACATTCCAGTAGAGCAGGGGTGCACACACTTGTTCGGCTTTGGTGCTGGTCTGGAGTCACTGCAGTGACTCTAAGGAACGGGGACGCAAGGCCTTTGGGTTTCTAAGTTTGGTTTCCACGTAGAAGCGGAGCAAAACCTTGTACTTACTGATTGTGAGGTCCATCATATTTGGCATCTGAGAATATAACACATTGTTGTGAGTCAGCTATTAATAGTTTGGACTTGTTTATTTTTAATGTTATCTTCCTCACCTCCTCATCATCACCATCTACCACATCTGAGAAAGAAATCAGATCACAAACAACAAGACAAAGATTAAAACTTCCTCCATTAAATATTAAAACACAAGATGAATCTGAATGTTAATAAAGTTCAATCACTCAACCACCTTCATGAGTACAAGGACTTAATGCTGACGGAATCATAGCCTCTCATCAGAAAACCAACAGAGGAGGCGAGGATCAAACCGCCGGCCTTCTGATGAGAAACTGAGACTCACAGGCTGAACTGGGATCAGCCAGAGGCTGAAACAGTTTAGCTCTTCATCATTGTCACCATCATGCGTTTTGGGATATAAGATCTAACGGTTATTGACCTAACAGTGTCTGATGATGTCATCACAGCCCAAATGGACTCACCCGTGTTTCCGCTCTGCTCACACACCTCATAGATTTTGTACGGCTGAACCGGAGTTTCTTTTGTGCCGTCATACTTCAGCTGAAACTCTCTGCTTTTGTTCAGAGCGCAGCGGAGGTTTGCTTTCCACTTGGCAGGTTCAGGTTCATCTACGCCTTCCTGGTATTTACCTGTCTCTAGAGCCCACGCCTGCAAGACACAGAGCAGGGCTTTCATAGCGGAGGGCCGCAAACAAACATCTGATATGAACTCAGTGCATGTTGTTGTTATGTGTTATCGCTGCAGTCAGCAACCTCATGAGTGTAAGTTAAATATATGCAAAGCAGGCTGTGACATCCCCCACTCTTGATTGGAGGATCGAGAAGACCCGCCCAGCAGTCCCGGCCAATCGGAGGATCGACATCGCTGGTCCACCAGCTCAAAAGGCCTGACTGAACACAGCTGAGGGCGGCTGCCAGACCAGATTGAGGAAGAGCGGTTGGAGTGCGAGAAAGCGGGCCTAGGATAAGAATACAAAATACTGATACCACCGGTTGCACTTAACATAATCTTGTTGTTTAGTCTCATTAGGTTCAGGGGTGCTGTGAGTATTGTCCCTTTTGGTTATTTGTTGATAAAGTTTTTGAGGACTTCTTTTGTTTTCTTAGATAGAAAAAGACAATCTTCCTTTTGAGGATCTCTTTTGGTTGTATTCTGTTTTTGAGTTCCACAGCACCCGTTGGACCCATTCTCTTTTTTGCAAGCTCTGTTCATTGCCCAATTAACAATAAATATCCTTTTAAATACCAATTCCATCTGGTTTTATGTGCATGTCCGTCTACCCCTAGCTACCGGACGTAACATTATGTCTGTACACACGTAAACAAACAGCTGACATAGACTCTGTGTGTATTTTTAGCTCTTTGCACACAAAGAAACAAACGGCTGTTACAATCTCAGTGCGTGTTGTTGTTACGTCTTTGTACACAAACAAACAGAGAAAAAATGTCAGAGCTCAAAGTCAAACTTCAGTCAGCAGAAATGAGGAATAGCAGAAGCAGTTACCAGTAAAAGAGGAAGTGACATCAGGTTCAGTAAGCAAATCAGCATGTGCCATGTTTAAGGAAACTGTCACTGAAGAGTGTAAGTAGTTGCTTTAAGTTCCCAAATTGTTAATAGTAATCATATTTCAGACCTTAAATACGGTGTTCTCCTCCTCTGGCGCTGCCGTGTGCCGTGTGGCATGTCTCCAGGGGATCTGGAAGAGTCGATGCTCCGAGCTGAGCCACTGCAGACCGGGGTACCTGCCGCTGTTCACCTGGGCCAGCAACCAGGGCTTCAGACGGATTCTGCGGGGCTGGACGCTCATGGTGGGAGCACTGGGGGGACTAGGACAACTGGGAATGCTGGGAAGAATAGGAGGACTGGGAATGCTGAGAGGAAGGGTTGGAGCGTCTCCTTCTGTAGTAACAACAGTTGGAGAGAATCCTATTAATTGAATTAATTAAACTCGCCTGGAAAACTTAATTAATTATGGTTTTGTAATGTAAATGTAAAAAGTGTGTGTGTGTGTGTGTGTGTGTGTGTGTGTGTGTGTGTGTGTGTGTGTCTCAACTTTTCAAAAAACCTTGGAGTGACATTTTGTCAGGGGTGACTCCATACGGCCGGCGTGAGAAATTGGATGGGTGGCGGGAGTGTGTGACTAGAGACCGAAATGAGTAACTGAGCACTAATAGTATATATATGTATATGTATATAGATATAGATATAGATATTTATTCAGACGGGTTCTGGGCTCAGCTGTAAGTATGTATTGGGAAGTTGCTGATTCGAAGTCACTACCTACGCACGCAAGCACGCGCCGGTATGTAGTGATCGTTACGATAGACTCACCTGGTCCCGGTCCCGGTCCCGGTCCCGGTCATGTCCTGGTTCTCGCTACGGTGACCCTGCTTCCGTCGTTAATCACGAACGGCCGCCGCCAACACAAACTGAGGCTCATGTCACACAATAAATCCGGCAGATTTTTAAATAAAAATAACCTTGATAATGCCAAAAACAGTACTTCCGGTTAGAGAGAAAAATAAAAGCTCATTTTTTTTTCATTTAACCTTTATTTAACCAGGTAAAAGTCCCATTGAGATCGAGATCTCATTTTCAAGGCCAATGCCTGGCCAATATATAAGTCACTCTACGAGGAAGTTTTTGTATTTTTTTATGTAGGTATGTATTTGTGAATGGGACAAGGACATTGTCGCTTTTTAGTTGTCACAGACTGTATCCTTTATTGTGTTTTGATGTAAGAGCCAATCCCAGTAGCCCCCCGACCTCTGACCTCTCAGGGATTTAGTGAGGTCACCTAGTCAGTGGCGAGAGTCTCACAGAGTCTCACAGACTCTCGCGCTTTGAATGGTCTAAATATCAAAAGACAGCACATGTCACCACAACAACTTCCACAAATATGACTTACAACTAAGAGGATTTATTTCATACTTTTTAACTCTGATTTGAATGTCTTTCAGGCTCTCTACTTATAAGATATGAGAGGTCATTTAAAAAAAAATGTTTTACTATTTTTTCTCAAAATGTCTTCAAAGGTCAAATCTAATATTTCATGCAAAAATCAATAAATATTGCCTGATTTCATGTGGGTTTCTATCTAGGTTTAATCTTTAATTTGCCTAACATTGAGTGGAGAGAACGATACCTGACGTTTTATTGTGAAGGGATGACCGGTATTTTGTGGGATAATTTACAGTGTTTAAGAGTTTATAGGGAAGTACTTGAGGTTCCTCCCTTTGCTTCCGCACTGCGTTGAATTGCCGCAATCAGTCTAACCAAACTCTAAATGCTAAATAACAAACCTACAAACTAAACTCTCTTTACATTGGTTGAAGGACCTTTATTGTTGTCTTTAATTCAATATGTTGTAACTGATTAACTGAAAACAGTGAAAGTAAATCTTCGCTCTGGTTGGATTTATAACTATCAATAAAGTTATGAAATCTTTTATTTTCAATAATGTTCATTATTAATGTAACTTATTTATATAATATAGTTATTTATATAGTAAAAGATGCCATGCCATAATACCAATTATCTGAAACATTATACAAATACCCTCCATTAAAAACAGGATGTATAAAACATTTAGGAGATAGTTCAACTATCAATGATAGTTTTTATTACATTACAGGTCATTTAGCAGACGCTTTTATCCAAAGCGACTTACATTACACTTTAAACCCGTGGCTTTTTCACATTTTTGCCCGGGGAGCAATTAGGGGTTAGGTGTCTTGTGCTTCCCAGCACACCTTCTCTAACCCCTGCGCCACGACGACCCCATAATCATTTCATCAGGCACTAACATGTCTATATTTATTATTTTTATACCATTAACTGAATATAAAGGTAGACAAAGTACATCAATATATATTCAAATAAAGCGATATACCTTTGGACTGTGATTAAAGGTGTATATAGATAAATAAAGATAATCCAATGACTTTGATTAAAGATAAACTTCCATTGTTATGTAGACGATACTCAATTTTATCTGTCCATGAAGCCAGGTAAGATGGACCAACTTGTTGGACTTCAAGAATGTCTTGGAGACATCAAAACTTGGAAGACTAGCATTTTTTTTAACCCTAAACTCAGACAATGATTTTCATCATTTTAGTCCCAGAGCGCCTTTGAAGTCCACTGTCTTGTTCTAAAGTTTGTCTGGATGGAATTGCTCTGGTATCCAGCAGCACGTCAAGAATCTAAGAGTTCTCTTTGACCAGGATGAGTCCTTTAACTTTGAGCTTTTTTTTCATCTACATAATATATAAGAAATTAGAAACTTCTTGTCTCAAAGTGAAGCAGAAAAATTAGTTAATGTGTTTGTTACTTCTTAGTCTCTTAAGCCTCTCAAGTTGAATGCTGCAGCACATGTATTAACCAGGACTAAGAAAAGGGATCATATTACTCCTGTATTAGCCTCTCTGCACTGGTTGCCTTTTAAATCAAGAATAGAATTTGAGGTTGTTCTCACCTACAAGGCACTTGCTGGTGAGGCACCGTCTTATCTTAAGGAGTCGATGATAAAAGATAGATCTAGATGAAGATCTTCATAGTTTACAGTTATATATTAACTATACATTTCCTAACACCTACACATTTAACTTATCTGCGATATTTGGCCGTGCTTCCTGTCTAGCCCTCGCAGCAGGTGGTGCTGATTTTGATAGATTTTGCCATGATTATTAAGTTAAATTCATTGGATTTTTTATAGACAATAGGGGTTCACAGTCTGTGCACATGCTACTGAAACCCACACATCCGCGTAGGAAAAACACAAAGCAGTGTTTGATCAATAAACTGATTGCCTGGACTGGGTACATGATGTTATATGTAACAACATCTGGCTTCACCCTCAGAACTACTAACTGTAAATGAATTCATGAGTCTGTATCGGATCATTATCGGTCTTATGCTTTATTTGTTCCTGCTGTATAATTAGCTAGAGATGTGTCGCTCTCCTCTTATCTGTACTAGTCTTCAAAAAATGGATCTCCAGGCCGTCCTCCTGTGGCATCTCCTCTGATTGGTCTGTCCTCATGTTGTTGCGTAGCTACTGCTCTGGGTCGTCGTGGCGCAGAGGGTTAGAGAAGGTGTGCTGGGAAGCACAAGGTTGTTGGTTCGATTCCCGGCTGCCCCATGTTCCATGTCGAAGTGTCCCTGAGCAAGACACCTAACCCCTAATTGCTCCCTGGGCAAAAATGTGAAAAGCCATGGGTTTAAAGTGTAATGTAAGTCGCTTTGGATAAAAGAGTCTGCTAAATGACCTGTAATGTAATGTATGTCCTGATGTCATCCTGTTGCGTCTGCTCTGATTGGTTTGTCGTCACGCCGTCCTGTAGCATCACCGCTGGTCTGTCCTCATGTCATCCTTTAGCATCTGCTCTGATTGGTTTGTCCTCATGTCGGCCTGTAGGTCCATCTCTGATTGGGTTGCAACGTGTCCTCTGTTTGGTCTGTCCTCCTGTCGTGATATGTGTCCAATGCAGTGATGTGATCACCTGTGGTCTTTTTCAGGATTTTTCAGTACTCATCTTCTCTTTACGACTCGAAGCATCAAAAACACGACAGCTGATAGAACCAAAAGAAGAATTATCGCTATGATTCCTCCTGCAAGTCTGCTGTCCACATTCCCAAACATCTGCTGCTCAGTGAACGCACCACGAGGAACTACAGAAAGGAGAAAGTCGGAGTCAGTGACCGCACCTCAAAGAACTGCAGAGGGGAGGGACTTGGTGTCAGTGAACACACCGTGAGTAACTACGGAGGATTAGAGTTGGTCAATGGACACTCCACAGGGAACTACAGAATGGAGAGACTCATAGTAAGTGAACTTACTTAGAAGTAAACTGCTTGTTCCTCCTCACTGAGAGCAAAACACTCGACTAGATCTCCACTCTTTGCTGTCCTGCTCCTAAATGGTGGAAGGAGGTCTCTGAAGACATCAGGACCACAGAGAGCCTTCACATCTTCAGACTAAAGACACACCTCTTCACACTCTACCTCCACTAACACACTAACTATAGCACTTACATTGGACTTATGGTTCTTATCTATAGCAAATTGTAAATTGGCTTATTTGAGAAAATTGCACTTTCTTGCTCTTCTAAGTTTGTATCCCTATGGTTGAATGCACCTATTATAAGTCGCTTTGGATAAAAGCGTCAGCTAAATGACATGTAATGTAACCACAGTAACTACAGAGAGGAGAGAGCTGGAGTCAGCGAACTAACTCACCTAATTGTCCAGTCTGCAGGACTTCAATGTCCACTGAAGCTGAAACTTCTTCCCCTGACTCTTCATCTCTGGCTACAACCTGCATATAGAAATAGTGATTTACATTGACTAAAAAGAAGTCAGTTGGATCACACAGGAGAGGTTCAGGTATGTGACTATCAAGTGTGAATCTGCAATAACCGGATGTCAGGGATTGCGGGAGAGGTAGGACTCAGACGCAGAGTTCAAAAACAAAAGGGACTTTAATTGTCAAAAAGGTTAAAGCAAAAGGCCAAGGGGCAAAACGGGAGACAGGAACTGCGAACGACGAGAGACAAGGACATGCGTGCCGAAAGACAATGACGGGACAAGTGACAACAGACACACATGGCTTAAATACACTAGGGAGGTGCAGGTGATTGGACACAGGTGGAAACTATTAGACGATCACAGGGGATGACATGACAAGGCAGGAAGTGAAGATACCCGGGGACACGAGTGGCAGAAAACTACAAAATATAACATGAAGTGAACCACACCGTGACACCGGAAAGCATACACAATAGAATATTGAGCGAGCAACGGAATGAATGTAGAGAACAGTTAGTGACAACCAATCAGTAAATCATAGGAATAAAAGGTTTTGGGTTATTTTACTGTAGATAAACATCTACGCTAGGGGTCTCAAACTCCGGCCTGTGGGCCACATCCGACCTGCCGGGGAGTACGGTGCGGTCAGCTGCCGACGGGAGGGAGTACGGCCAACTTTGGCGTACCGTCAGCGCCACCACCCCTCCCCCCATCACCACAATGGTCTAAAAGTCGAGAAACTGGAAAAGCTGAACTACATTTGAAACAATTGCTGGAAATACAGAAATGTGCTAGCACAGTTCGTGCATTTCATGCTAGCTAGTGCCCACGTGTGTGTCTGTGTGTACTGCACGCAGTACCTCTGTATGGGAGAGACAGAGAGTCAGTGCCCCGGCTAGTCTGTGGGTTGTCACGGAAACGGCGCAGCTGCCGTGTTCCCGCGCTGATCAAAGATTGGGGAGAATACATCTTAAATTAAACTTCACCTCCCACAAATGAAAGTATCCGCAAAACTATGATTCCAATCCAAAAGATAAGGATATACAAGACCCAAGACTCTGCCGAATGCAGAGATATCATTTATATGTCTGTGCGCTCAGAAATATTACTTTACCGGCAGTTTCAAAAACTAGTACCTTTTGCCTTTTCTGAGAAATGTGTTGCCAGATTTGCATTGTTCTCTATGGAATGAGAGTTGGACTTTGTGTTGCTCTCAGGGTTGCTTAAAACATCCCAACAACTACATTTGCAACATGTAGGGGAACCTAGGCAAAGCCTTCCCCTTAGCAGTGGTGTACAATGCAGTCTGTGTAAATTAAATTGTCTTTCTCGGTCTGTGCTCTGAGGATCAGGTTAATTGGGGACTTTAAATTGCCCGTAGATGTGTGAATGTGAGTGTGAATGGTTGTATGTCTCTGTGTAGCCCTGCGAGTGGCTGGCGACCAATCCAGGGTGTACCCTGTCTATCGCCCAAAGTTGGCTGGGATGGACTCCAGCCCCCCCGCGACCCCGTGTGCAGGATAAGCGGTTTGACAATGGATGGATGGTCTGTGCTACAGCTCAGAATGTTAAGTGTGTCTTCTATAATTGATGCCCATGTATTTTCTTCATGTCAATCTGCCACTGTTTGGGGTCAGTGGAGTGATTAAGATTAGGGCCAGAGGTTGCATCTCTAGCCGGGGCGAAGTGGGTGCAATAAGGGTTTTGTACTGTTAGATAGATTTGGTCTCAAGGAGGGTTAGGGATAGTGACAGATGCTGATTTTAATTAGGGCGTACTGTCACTTCAAGAACATTCTGCGTGACATACAAAATAGCAGTTCACATGTGTTGTGAAGGTACGGATCGTGAGTTAGCGGCTACTGAGGACAGAGCATTAACTTTTAGCATACAGACTGCTTAAGGGAAATATTTGTACGATGGGCCAGCTTAAGTAGCAGGATAATTCAGTAATAAATCTGAATTACTGTGTAACTGTGAATGTTAAGTTTTATGCAAGCGCATGTTTTGAACATTTTTTGTTTTTTGGAAATCATACCTTTTCAAAGGAAGACCCACCTGTATTATGTGTCTGTCAAAGGCATGTAGACTGTCCGTCCTGGCAATCAGAACCCCATCGTTGGTCACTTGGTATAGTCCAGATGGAGGAAGAATGGAGTAGTGGATGTTTGGATTCAGGCCCTATGATTGGTTAGCAGCGATGACTCATCTGCAGTGATCACTCATGTGTTGTTGTACAGGTCATAAAACAAGTAAACCAGCAGGTGTTCTTACGTCAGAGAAGTCACGGTCTGATGCCAGGATCTGTAAAACGTGGTTCCCATATGTGGTGACGATGGAGGCTGGATTCAAGTTCTGGACTATGAATCCTTTAAAGGTGGTTCTGTTGAAGACCGGAGGGAACGTGTTCTCATTGAGAACCCTGATCAGAACCGAAACTACACTGTACTTAAGATGGTCGTCCTCCTGACACACCTGCAGAGGCAAAACAAGTCCTGGTAGATCAGACCTGTGGTTCTGTAGTGGTTGTGAACATAAACAGGAAATAGTGTTACCATGACACTGAGTGTGAAGGTCTTCTCCTGATGTCTAAGGGGGACAGCTCTGGTTAGCTGGATCTCACCGGTCCTGTTGTTGATCTCAAACCGGCTTTGATTCCCCCCTGAAACAGTGTGACACACACACACACACACACACACACACACACACACACACACACACACACACACACACACACATTGGGTAACTGATAAAGAAATGATAAAGAATACAGAAATCATCAGCACAAGTCGTAAGCACGGACAGAAGTCAAATGACTACAATTCAGCTGAAAAGGGACAGATGTTCCTTTCCCCAAAAGGAGCAGGGAGATCTGACCAAGTTGAAGAGGAGAACAGGAGCTTAAACACACTTCAGGGAGTTTGTGCTGCCTCAGCACAGGAGAGCCCACCCCTCAAAGAGGAGTGTTTGGAAAAGTACCAGACGACGTGGGGGTGACCCCGTGACCCTCCCTTAAGGGACCCGGTCAATCAACAACATCTAAAAGGTCAGTCAGGGCCCGTATGGTTTAATCTGTGTCTTATCTCACCCTGGACTGCCTTAAGTCACCAGCTCACATCAAAGGTCACATTCTTGAGAGCCTCACCCCACGCAGGCTCAACAATTTTCCCCCAACAGGGCCAAAACGAAGTTTGCATTGCTCTTGTCCCCTCAAAAAAGATTCTACAACATTTAACATTGAAACTTATTTTGCAAATGCATTTTCACTTACCATTTAACGCTAACAAGACTTGTGATACACTTTGCACGGGACACAGATTATGCAGATTTTGATCTCCATGTGGTTTTGGAACTACTGACCTGACAGGATGCTGTAGATCAGAGGGGTGTTGAGTCCTCGGTCTCCATCCTCTGCTCTGATTGGACCGGGAGAAAACTTGAGAACTAGGTCCTGAAACGGAACAATTATATGTGCTCACAGTACATATTAATGGGTGTAAATAGAAAACTAAGGTCTCCGCTTAGCGTAGCTTAGTGTCCCTTCCATGTGGCAGGAGGCTGAGGTCCATCAGGACTAAGACCTCCCGCCACACCAACAGTTTCTTCCCGTCGGCAGTCGGGCTCATCAACAGAGCCGGTCCCCCACTGACTGACTATAACACTCCACCGGTCACTCCCCTTCACACTGCACATGTCACTTTAACTGCAATTCATCACTTTGTCACTTGTCACTTTGTCTCTTGTCTGTTACTTGTTTGTTAGTGCACTTTATGCTTAATATTTTTCTTTTTTACTTTTTAATATTTACATTTTTTTAACTTTATTCCCTTGTTTTATACTAACCCATAGCCATAGCCTTATTCTACTAACCCATTGCATTAGCATTTCATTCCACTTCATTTTATTACTTGTGCACTGTTGTCTTGTCTGTCTACTGTTGCGCACTAATCGCCAAGACAAATTCCTTGTATGTTTGACATATTTTGGCTAATAAATGTTTCCTGATTCCTGATTCCTGATATTTTGGCAAAATATGTCTGATTCCTGATTGCAGCGCACATTAATAAATGGAAATAGAAAACGCGTCTCCACTTTCTGTGCACATAAATTAATATAAAAAGAAAACGAATGTGTCTGCTTACAGTATACATTAATGGATGTAAAGAGAAAACTAATGTATCCGCCTACTGTGCAAATTAAAAGATATGACTAGAAAACTACAGTACATTTTCCCCTGGCATTAGATGCCGTTTGTACCTAGTATTTCTGTGGAATGTTTGTTTGTGTTTCTGTCTGATGTTTGTTTGTTTACCTAGTGTTGTTGGCTTACCTGGTGTTTTTGTGTGATGTTTGTGCTATAGGTGGGGCTCACACAGACAGGAACACCTGGAGAGACACGTGTGCAGGGCAGGAAGTGAGGATACTGGTCGTCCCCATCCTCGATGTTCACAGTCAGAACCGCAGAAGTGTTGAACTTCTCCTCAGTGTTCACTTCCTGTTTATTTCACAAAAAAGACACCCTATTCCAGAAAGCCAGTTTAACCAACTCTGACTTGACTAAATCTAATTGTTAATACGGCTCCAGAACACCTGACAGCAGAGTTTGTTCACTTTTTCGGCCTGCAGCAATTGATGGCGTTTCTATAGCGACTCCAACCTTTTCTCCCTCTGTGGTAAAATTAGTATTTCTCCAAGGTGCCCTTGTATCCTTCACCTTTTTCCCCTGCTTTCTTCAATCACACACACACAAACTTATTTGATTGTTTGTTTGGATAGTAGGTCCATGATAGTGTTATAGAGATTGTTGGTTACAGATATATCACATTACATTACAGGTCATTTACCTGACGCTTTTATCCAAAGCAACTTACATAGCTTTTTTTTTTTACCCATCGCTTTTTACATTTTTGCCCGCAGAGCAGTTATGGGTTAGGTGTCTTGCACTCTACTCCATGCGCCACCGTCGACCCGTATTATATATATATGATCTTAATCAGTGTTGCTGTGAGTTAATAAACTGTAGAGAGGGTGCACTGGAAAAGCCATGGGTTAAAGATGTAATGTAAGTCGCTTTGGATAAAAGGGTCAGCTAAATGACCTGTAATGTCATGTTATGCTTCAAAAAACGTTTTTCCTGTGTTTACTTGTGCATTTGTATGGTGGTGACAATTGGAAATTATAGTCACTGCCCAATCGTAAAAACATTCAAAATTCTTTACTCTTATGGTACGCTGGAGGGACTCGAATCTGCGATTGACGCAAAAGCAAAAGTTGAAATATTCCATCTTTGGCGACCAAACGCTGTGACGCTGCGGCGCAATAGCCTATCAGCGCCAAGATGCTCCCCGTTGTCACTGTACGATACATCCTCGTACCTTTATTGCGACTGGCCTGGGAAAGATCTCGCACTTTTAAAAAGCAGCATACAATCATATGTGCCTTTTTACAAGATCCCATCACTGCACTGAATATAGTACAATAAAGTGTAGGGTAACTGTATTGCTAAACAACACACTGATACTAAATATTTTGTAGTATTAAGGAAGTTTGCTCGATGATAACGTGTGTGTAGCTGGTCGTCTCGTCATGGTACAGGTCCCTCAGCATGGAAGTATGATGCGAAGGTGGTGAGGTCCGGTGCCCGATCCGAGCCAACGAGCTCTCAAATGGGCTAACGTCTAGCACCCTGTACCGCTGGAAGCGGCGGTCATTCAGGCGCAGTTTCTGTAGAAGTCGGTGAAATTCACCAAGCTGTCTGCGCCTACGGATGCTATTTAGTACAAAAACACGACTCCGTTTGAAGGTCCGACGTACAACAAGTACAGAGTGACTATGTCCTCCAGGGTTGATGCGGAGGAAAAACAATGGTTGAAAGTTGAACTGTTTCAGGGTGATAAAGCACGCCCCCTCTCGGTCGCGTCGGTGGGAATATGCGAAACACGCAAACTGACCAAAAGTGTACCCTGAGAGTCCTGCTGCGCAATACATTCGCATCGCGTTTGCTGTGAACATACCAAAAGCGAAGTGAATTATTCGCAAAAGTAGATTCCATGCACAGACGCGACCGGTTGTGGAGGAAGCAAATTTTCGGGCGGCGTGGAGGATGGGGAATGCAAAAGAAAACAAATTGTTGACGCTGTCTTGTGAAAGCGTTGAGATGCTCCGCTCGTCAGGGTGAACACACTTTATGAAACTAATGCTTCACCACAGGTCATCAGACCTATTGTGCCGGTGTTCTATCATTTTCTGCTACTTGTCGAGAACTGCTACGTTGTGGTATTGCGCATGCGCCGAGTCGATTTTCCAAGTTTCCATAATATTTTTCAACCCTGTCGATGAACGACGTGTTAACGGAGTAACATCCTCAAAATCCCGATGATTTCCTCTTTTGGCCAAGTTAAAAAGTACATTGAGCATGTAGATTGTACAATGACCGTTCTCTTGAAATTAAATATTAAATAATTGCATGGACTGTGTATCCTTGCCTCCGTCTACTGTGTCGTATTATCCGTAGTCTGTTTTCCATTTGCAGAAACACGGAGAAAAACATCCACCAAAACCCCCTTTCTTCGCACTTTTGGCTTATTTAAGATAAATAGCTTAGATTTCACACTGGTTTATCTCTTGAAGTTAAATTTGGAATAGTTGGATGTAGCTTACTGTGTCGCAGGGACATGCACATGATTCTAGAGGGGCAGGGCTCACAGCGCGCGAACATACTGCCCAATTTCTTTTCAGGTAGTAATAACATGAAGATTAATGAGTGATTAGCAGTTGCTATTTCTTTTGTGTCGATGCGTTGTTGTAAACATGATTTTTTTCACATTATTATAATAAAGCACTGGTTTATTATTAGGCTAAAATGGTATGGTAGCATGAATCGATAGACAGAGCCATCAATTTATGCAGCGGTAGCAATTCTCGACAAAGCAGCAAAAATCGTCAGAACAGCGGCTCCAGTATTGCTGGGAGCGGCAGTCATCCAGACGGACTTCCTGTAGGAGTCGGTGAAATTCAAGCTGTGTGCGGCGACGGATGACGCACCGAACCCAAACACAACACCGTTTGCGGTTCCGACATTTGTGTAATTCACACATTTATTGCCATATAGCGCAAATTATTATAACTGTCTTTACGGAGACAAACAACAGAGATAAGCCACGCCCCCTTTCAGGCGCGAACTACTCACGCCAGTAAAGCGTTTTGGTTCACAGCATAAGGAGGGAACATCAATTATGAGACTTGATTTATAGTGTTGGTTAATCGGGCCTTTTAGCTCTGGTTGGTGCCCCGTTATTTATTCATTGTGTGAATTATCTAGTGATTGTTAACAATTCTATTGATATCAATCAATTAGTTTCACACTTGTTATTAACCAATAAGTCCCCCTGCCCTTCCCAACAAGGGTTACCTGGGCCCAGATGAGCACCTGCACCTGGGTTCTAGTCTCATAGTCCAGAGGTTTGTTCAGAACGATCTTTCCACTGTTGGGTAGATCAATCCTGAAGAACTGTGGGTCACTCTACGGGGGGAAGGTTACAGTTGAGTTCATGGAGACAGAAACAGAGCGTGGACAGAATTAATGTCGACACCTACCGAAGATGGATCAATGATGTAACTGATGACGTCCCCGTCTGCATCCACGGCCTTCACAGTGAAAAGCACAGAGTTCACGGCTGTCAGCTGAAATCATACATCAGGAAATTAATTATAGGTCCCAATATATATATATATATATATATATATATATATATATATATATATATATATATATATATATGTGTAAACATCTTTATATTTAAGTATCACAAAACAAATGTCTATATACATTTATATCATACACGTTCACAAACACCACTAGATAAAAGTAAACAAGAGCTCTCCTGGTAATCAGAGTAGATTACTCTACAACTTTTACTCTACAATTTTTGTACCTCATTAACTGTGAACCGGTGAATCGTCTCCTCTACAAACTTTGGTCTGTTGTCGTTTTCATTCAGTATCTCCACCAGAATCCTGAACTTACTCTGATGATGAAATATTACTTTATTAAAAACACTTTACTAGCTGCTGTTGTTCATGTTGGAGGAATAGCTCACCTGGATGACGTCGTCCTGGTAACAGGTGAGCTCAGCTATGAGCATGGGCCCCTGGGCCTGAGAGACAAACCCATGTCTGTCTGTGAGTACTCCATCAATAAAATGTATTGTTATTATTATATATTATGTGAGTGACATCCCTGTAGATCAGTGCACAGCTCATTTCAGAGAGTTGAATTGACTCTGTGAGATTCAATTTGAGCTCTAAGCAGGTGTATATATTGTCCCAATCTTGTCAGTGTTAAATCAACACTCTTTACGCAGAGTCAAACCCAACACCAAGAAGTGTGACAGTGATGTACAGTTGCACAGTGCTGTCTGTTGTCTGTTAAAGGAGGAAGTACATTTGAAGGTTTTATGATTTATTCATGATATATTTAACAGTGCTAGTGGGCCAGAAATGATACATTACAAGACCATTACAAGAATGAACGACTGTATGAAATCGGACTGCGGGCCATGATCGGCCCCCTGCTGTAGATGATCCAGGTGAGATGATTAAGTGACGGAGCAAGGAAGCAGGCCTACCTCTTTGTCGAGCACTCTGGGATCAGAGGCGTTCAGTCGGAGGGTTCGGCCGTCTAAGTAGAACCAGGCGGCGTCCTCTCCGCTCACACACAGGCGGAGGCTGTTAGCTCTGTTGGCCCCTGGTTCTGCGGTTATGCCGAGCTCAGAGATGAACTGACCCGTCGGACTGTTCTCCCTGAGTGCCGCAAAGATGTCTGAGCCACCCCCACACGGACTGGCTAGGGAAAGCATCCCGCAGTTATACACTCTGACGTTTTATAGTCGGTTCTGACTAAACATCTGTGTGAAACTACTAACCTCTGAACTTGTGATGTCATAGAAAACCCAGTCTCACAGCAAAACGTGTAATAGCTACATCGTGGAATGTGGTATTCTCACGCTTTTGGGGAGAAAACGTGACAATACCACGTTTCGTTTGCAACTAGGTCACGTGACTATCAACTTCCCCTCAGCTAAAAAAAGGAAATGGCGGACTGCCGGTCTATTATCTGTGAAAAACACAATATTTTAAGAAAGCGTCAGCATTTGTATGCATTTCGATGGCATTTCTAGCGCGAAGTATGCGTTATATTTTCATAATATTCTGTTAAGTTGCAAGGCGATGTAAATGAACAGGCCAAAATAAAACGTAGTATTGTCACGACTTTGCGGAGAAAGCGTGAGAATCCCACGTTCCACAACGTAGCTACCACACGTTTGACTGTTAGACTGGGTTGTCATAGAACAAGTCACCGGTGACCAAACTGTCTCACCCCCTAATCTCTTTGGTATTCTATTAGAATATTCACCCATGACTCATTGAGAATAAACAAACCTTGTGCTACAAATTACACTTATTGTGGGTTTCATGTCGACCTGTCCAATATCAAAAGTTCAATCTTAGAGAGAAATCAACGTCTTATTCATATGATTTATTCTCATTTATCTTTTTTTCTCACATTACACTGGGGAGTATCTTCCAGCTCAGAGATTGTTGATCCTTCAGTAGTTATCCACTCTCTCCTATGAAGGTCACAAGGACTTGTGTGACATTTAGGGTCCTAAAAGGGCTGGGCTGTGTAAAAGGGAAGTGATAATGGATCACTTCTTGATTAGTTCTAACCAACCATCTGATTTTCACTGCAGCCGATGTGGGTTAGGGGGAGAAGTTAATACAACGTAACTTATATTGCTACTGGTCTCTTTACCTGTAACAACATGATACGACAAGCTGAGAGCCACCTGCCACAGCAGCAGGTTGCAGGGTCTCAGCATCTTCCTCCACATTCTCCTTCTACAGAGCACACAATCATCAGGTTGACTCCATGTCACAGCTTTCATCAAATCGTCTTTCTCAAGATGATCATCGAGAACACACAAAGTGAGGGATGAGAAACTGATTTGACGCGAGATGACTCATGTTGATAATCTCATGTATTAATAGCCATGATATTCTTTACAATAATAATATTATAAATACTGACCTTGTGTATCCTGCTGTCAAGTTGTCATCGACGCCTGTTTGCTTATATACATATTTATAAATATATATACAAATATGTATATATATATATATATATAATTATAGTAGTGTGACAGCGGGACAGAAGGTCTGTGCGACGCTGACAGATTATCAATGGATTATGTCTGACGTATTTACAGAGATAAATGAGCAGGAGAATTAGGCCAGTATGCCACTAATACTACTCGCTACTGTAATCTCTATTTTACTACCTATTGTACTCTCTGCTATACTCTCTACTGTTACTCTATATTGTAGTCTCTACTGTACTTTATTCTACTCTATACTGTAGTCTCTGCTATTCTCTTTACAGTACTCCTTATTGCACTCTCTACTGTACTCTCTCCTGTATTTTCTACTGTACTCCTTGCTGTACTCTGTAGTCTCTCCTGTCCTCTTTTCTGTACTGAAACAGAGGGAGTGGCCAGTGTTGCCATAACAACCCTTATTAGATTAAGACATCATTAACAGAGTCCATAGGCAAAACCAAAGTAGTAATTATTTCATGTTTTCAATTAAATAAGTCAATAAACTCAGGAGAGACGTGTCGCCTTTGGCTCTGTTCAGTTCCAGATTGCTGCTGCTCACAAATAATATGGTTTCATTATTTTACTCAGGTATTCTATTTTACATTACATTACATGTCATTTAGCAGACGCTTTTATCCAAAGCGACTTACATTACACTTTAAACCCGTGGTTTTATCACATTTGCCTGGGGAGCAATTAGGAGTTAGGTGTCTTGCTCAGGGACACTTCGACATGGGACATGGGGCAGCCTGGACTCAAACCACCAACCTTGTGCTTCCCAGCACACCTTCTCCAACCCCTGCGCCACAATGACTTTTGACCTCTGAAATTTGACTACATTTTATTCAATCAGAAGGACAACACAATAATATTGATTATTTTAATCACATTTGAACAAATCCTCAGAACTGCTCTGACTACTTATGTAATTGTTTATCTCATCTGATTAGAAAGAAATAAAAGCTGATAAACACACTTATATTTAAACACCAGCTACTTCACTGTGAACCACAACTCCCAGGGTGCTTTTCATTAATAAACGATCACAGATGATAATGCAAGCAGTTGCTTTCTGTCACTTCTTTCCATTGCCAAACGGGTCAGAAGCGGCGGCACCGGCCTCCTCGTCCCCGACCTGAAGGGAGGAGCCAAGGTTGGCTGTGAGACAGGTGGAGAAGACGCACCGTCGCGCGATGGGGGGCGCCACAGGTGAGACACTAACAGAAGGGGACCAAAGGTGAGACTTTTACAAAAGGAGACTCTAGATTTATCTGTACAGATGTATCTACTCTCTACAGGTTTATCTACTCTGTACTCTATAGGAATATCTACTCTCCTCACATATATCTAATGTGGACATGTATTTCTTCTCTCTACAGTATATCTACTCTGTGCAGGTATATCTACATTAGGTAAAAAAACAAACAGGTAAAACATAACGCGTGTCATCGTCTCAGTCCATATGTGTGGTGTGCATTTTATAGTGGAATGATATGTGTATAATGTGTATTACGTTTCTATGTAAAGTGTATTAGTATGTGCACATTGTGTGTATTATTTTGTGTATAATCTTTATTGTTTTGTATATAGGTTTTATGTATAATTTATTTAATTATCAGATTAGATAGTAAATTAATAATGCCAGTATTTAGCAATCCTTACACATGCTCTGACTACTTATGTAATTGTAGTCTACTTATGTAATAAACATAAATATATACATAGATGTTTTGTATCCTCATTGACATTCAATATTTCTTCAGCTAAAGCTTCCACTTGTAACTACACATAATCAAATATGATAAATACATAAGGACTCACCTGGTGGAGTTTCCCTCTCTGATGTTCAGCAGGTGAGAACTATCAGCATGGAGAAAAATGTTATCATCCTCTTCTTCATCCTTACCACCACCACCATCATCATCACAACCACTCACTACTACCGCTACCTTTCTCTTCTCATATTAATATTCCCATCTCACCTCATGAGAGGAGGAGGAAGATGACCAGCAGAGATAAAAACCACCATCATCAACATCATCATCACCATCTTCATCTTCAAAGAGAGTCGAGCTGCCTGAACAAACTTCATCATGAGATTGTTTGTATTTATAGAGTCAGTGAGTCTGAAGGCCAACAGTCATGTGATTGTCGACCAAACCCTCCTCGAGCTTAACAGGAATACTAGTGTAATCAGTGTAATCATATACGCAGTGTATATATATACATTATATATATACATTGTCATCTATACATAACTTGTATTATAACAGCCATGTGATAAGAGGATGTATAATTATACAGGGGTTAATGGTGACATTACAATTGTCCATCCATCTTCATGCAGCATCGAAGGGGTGTGTGTGGGGGGGCTGACGTCAAACTCAGCTAACATCGGGCGGGCAAGGGTACACGCTGGATTGGTCACCACCAGTGTGGGGCAAGTTACTGAAAATGAGTATTTAGTTACAGTTACTAGTTACTTCTTTTAAAGGTAATGGAATTACTTACCAGTTACTGGGTATCAAAAGTAATTAGTTACTCTGGAAAGTAACGTTTAAGTAACTTTTATGTCTGCTTTTTAAATGTAATGAATATAAATAGTACTGAACAGTCAAACACAATAAACATATTTTTTAGAGCTATTTATTGTAATCAACAGGGCAACAGCCCTTCAAATCAAGCAATAGTACAAAAGTCCTTTTTAATACTTAACTTAATAGAAAATAACTGTTTGAGGCTTTTGCCTGAAGGCAACGGACTCGACAGTTGACAGGATGCATCTCATGTCCAACACAGCGAGCGATCAATCAATCAGCTCTGCCGGTTCATCGGCTGCTCTGCAGTCCGTGTGAAGTGGAGCCTTGGTTGTTTGCGTGGAGCGACGCCTGCAGCATCCTGCGCTCTGTCCTCATGAGCGACGCGATGCTGTTTACGTGCACGTACACGACTATTCTGTGACACACAACGTTTGGTGGCCACAACTATTTAGTGCTGACAGGCAGCTGTTTACTTACTATTTGCCGGCCCTCCGCTTCGCGTCACAAAAGAGAGCAACGCGAGTAACAAACTCATTTCAATTTCAGTAATTGTAACTGCGTTAATTTATTTAAAAAATACTTTGTTACATGCTCGTTACCGCTAAAAGTAGTGGAATTACAGTAATGCGTTACTTTGTAACGCGTTACTGCCAACACTGCTCACCACCCAATTTCAGGGCTGACACAGAGACAAATAAATATTCACCAATCAACCTGATCCCCAGAGCATGTCTTTGGACTGGGAAGAAGCCACAGTACCGAGAGAGAACCGACGCAGACATGGGGAGAACATACAGACTCCATAAGCGCCACCGGGTGGAGTCAAACCAAGGACCTAACCACCACACCACCGTGCCACCCTCATATTTGTACTAATCCAGTCAGCAGATCTGAGGTCACAATGAAACCATCTGTCATTGGCTGAAGGTCTCTGCTGAAACATGAAGGACGTCTCAATATTGACTCTTTCACTTCATCACTAGAGCTCTGCAGCTTCATGACAACCAGCTGACCTCTGGACCTCTCTGTTGCAACAGAAACAACAGTGAAACCTGCATCTTCCCTAGTTTACATGTTTCTAATATTAGGATTAATGGTTGGAACCAGTTTGAGATGATATGAGAATGCTGACATCAGAATATCGCACAGTGTGGTCATAAAGGGATGGATATGGTCAGCAACAATACTACATGCTGGTAGGCTGCAGCATGTAAACAATGATAAATGGGTACTAAGGGGCCCAAATTGTGCCAATAAAACATCACCCCTCCCCACCCCCCCACCATCACACCACCAGGACGGAGTAACGTTATCACTAAGAGAAGTTTGTTCTCACATCTTACATGAATTTAAAAACACGACATTGGTTACCAACGCCCCGTAACTTAAGCCATTTTATAAACTAAGATATGATGTTATATCTTGTAGCGTCGGGGTGTAGTGGGTCACTCAGCACACGCAGGTGAATGAACGTTCTGGTAGGAATCCTTTATTTGTTTCTCCAGCAGCAGATAACATGCACCCCACGCTGTCGGTACACTCCCTCGATACTCACAGACAGCAACAACAACAACATAGAACACTTCTAGCAAACCTGACTATTTATATTGGTAGATATTCGAGTGAGTTCTATTTCTTACATTTAAAAGTGAACTTATAAGGAATACAGGTACTTGAACCCAAAAGCACAACTCGGAAACAGAAATGCGCTCCATAGATGCTGGTTACTTGTTGTTCCTATGGTTTTAAAAAGTAGGCTGGGGGCCAGAGCCTTCAGTTATCAAGCTCCTCTTTTGTGGAACCAGGTTCCACTTTCAGTCCGGGGGGCAGATTCGGTCAGCTCTTTTAAAGTAAAACTTAAAACTTTCCTCTTTGATTGTGCCTATAGTTAGGGCTGGCTCAGGTTAGCCCGGACCAGCCCTTAGTTAAGCTGCTATAGGCTTAGAATGCCGGGGGACTTCTTAGGACACACCGAACTCCTCTCTCACGCTCTCGTTCTACCATAATTCACATTTTATTAATGCACATCACTAATTCAGCTTCTTTCCGGGAGTTTTTTTTGTGCTTTCTCCCCTATCAGGTCTCCGTAGATCGTAGTTCCTTCTGGACCCTGGTCCTGACACCTACCGTGGCCCTGCTGACGCCTGCTGCTGCCATCATCATCATCATCATTATTTTAGATATTAATCATATTACTGTACTCGTAAACCAACATTACCCTCTCCTAAAGTCTCTGTGCTCTCCCTCCCCACAGGCTTCAGTGGATGGTGGTTCTATGTGATGGTGGTTCTATCTGATGGTGGTTCTACGTGATGGTGGTTCTATCTGATGGTGGCTCTATGTGATGGTGGTTCTATCTGATGGTGGTTCTATGTGATGGTGGTTCTATCTGATGGTGGTTCTATGTGATGGTGGCTCTATGTGATGGTGGTTCTATCTGATGGTGGTTCTATGTGATGGTGGTTCTATTTGATGGTGGTTCTATGTGATGGTGGTTCTATGTGATGGTGGTTCTATCTGATGGTGGTTCTATGTGATGGTGGTTCTATCTGATGGTGGTTCTATGTGATGGTGGTTCTATGTGATGGTGGTTCTATGTGATGGTGGTTCTATCTGATGGTGGTTCTATGTGATGGTGGTTCTATCTGATGGTGGTTCTATGTGATGGTGGTTCTATGTGATGGTGGTTCTATCTGATGGTGGTTCTATGTGATGGTGGTTCTATGTGATGGTGGTTCTATGTGATGGTGGTCCTATCTGATGGTGGTTCTATGTGATGGTGGTTCTATGTGATGGTGGTTCTATGTGATGGTGGTGGTCCCTGCAGTGGTCCTGCTGTGCGTCTGGTTTACTACTCACAGTTACTTGAATCATTTCTGTCATATAGTCTCATGTATTATACATTGTTCATTCTGTACACATGACATCATTGTAGTCGTCCATCAGGAGACGGATCCTCCTCTGACGTTCTCCTTAAGGTTTTTTCCCTTTTTTCCATCTTTGAAGGGTTCTTTCATTGTTTGGGAAGTGTTTCTGTGCCGATGGCGGGTTTCGGGACAGAGGATGTCGTATGTGTACAGACTGTTTAAGCCCTCTGAGGCTAATTTGTAATTTGCGATTTTGGGCTACAAAATAAAATGAATTGAATTGAATTGAATTGAAATGCAAGTAAAGTTCCTTACTCATGTTAAGGCAGGGACAAAACCGGGAGGTCAGTCCAACAGGTGCAGGTGAGAAGGGCATGATGACCAGGTGAAGGGAATGAGAGATGGTGTGGATAACAGATGTATATACACTTAACTTATTAATCTGAATTTAAAATGACCAGAAAATGCTCTTGTCTCAGCCTGACATATATCATGTGACAGAGGAAAAGCATATCTTACTAAATTAAATGAAATAAGAAGAAGATATCCTTCCCTAGTTTGTTTGTTTTTAAGCCCAGCAGGTTGCTAGGCAACGGGAGCAGCGAAGGTAAAGCGGATGATCCAAACATGAAGTAGTCCAGACTGTCCCTCTTCAGACGCCTTTTGGTTCCACCTGTCGTTGTTGGGACAGCGTCTTGCGCGTATGTATCAGAATCAGCTTTATTTCCTATATGTATATATAAATACACATATATAAATATGTTATACATATATACATATACAGTACTAGTAAAAAATGTCGACATGTTATATATATATATATATATATATATATATATATATATATACATCCATGGATGCATATATGTAAAAACACCACTGCGCTCCACTAGAAGGCAGCAGAGTCCCCTCACACGTTATCTTTAACGTTACGGCTCATCCATGTGACGAGGACCGGAGGATGGACCGAACTCTGATGCGGTCGTGATGGACCCGGTGGAGGGATGCGGTTCTCCGCGGGGTCGGTGTCCGTGGGCCCGTTTCTCCTCGTGGTTGGAGTGCGCGTGTGTCGTTACCTTCGACCTAGAGCTCGGACAAGCCATAGAGGTGAGGGCGCTATTAGCTTAGCATTGCTAGCATCGCTAATCATCGCAGCCGCTCCGATCGATAAATGATCGATTGGAGAATCGATGTTTGTGGGACAGAAACAACAATAGTGTGAATGCGCGGTGTGCTCCTTGTGTTGGTGACGGTGCACCACCCTCCGTTCACAAACCGGTTGTTTGGTGTTGGTGTGAAGCAGCTTCACCATGATTTACATGTTTCGATCTTCTTATTGATCCTTAACGAGTATGTGACCTCTTAAACTGTCACGTATCAGAGCCTCATTGTACAGAAAGTGTAGATTATGTAAGGAGGGCTGGTGTTGACACTGTGTTGACATGCTTTCTTTACTTTACTCCAACAGATCTTTGTTCTGCTTTTACCAAAGTCCATCAGAAAAACTGACAATACGTTAATTGAGGTTTTCTTTATAGATGAAGTCTTCTTAAAAAGTTGACAGCTCGCTGTTAATCCTGATCCACCAGTGTGTTGTCTTTATTGATTTCAGCTGGTGTATCCTCAAGATGTGAAACTCACAGAGAAAGAAGTAAGTTATACTCAATACATCGGTGCATCTATTCATATCCATTGATGTATATTTATATTTATTGATGATTTTATAATTGTTGTGATCTGCCTTCAGAAGACCAGCATCTGCTACTTGTCCTTCCCTGACTCGTACTCAGGTAACTCTCATCACACTGCATCGGGCTGCACATGAGCTCAAAGGTCACATGTTTACGTCATTTTCTAGGATGCCTTGGCGACACTCAGTTCAGCTTCAGGTTACGTCATTCGGTTGGTCGAAGAGGGTCAAAGGTCAGAGAAGATGTTTACAACAGAGATGCCCCACCCACCCTTCAGGTATTGATCAGGAACCATGTGACAGCGTATTGGAGATTATATATATTATAAACATTAATAAACCAACTTTGGTAAACCATGACTGGTTGCTTCTCCTTGTTTCCACAGACTGAAACGGCCCATTTCTTTGGTTACGTCTATTTCAGACAAGTGAAGGATATATCTGTGAAGAGAGGATACTTCCAGAAGGTCAGTTTTCTGTTCAGCTGTACACACCTGTTCACTTTTCCACACCTGATTAACCAAGTGATACCTGTGTTCCAGTCTCTGGTGCTGGTCTCCAGGTTACCCTACACTCACCTGTTCCACTCCCTGCTGCAGATCATTGCTCCAGAGTTCTTTGAGAAACTGGAGCCCTGTCTGGAAGCAGGTGATGGTGTCGTGTTTGCGTCATAACCGTGGACGAATGACAAGGATTGTAATTATGACGTCATTCAGCTGAAGTTCTATCAGATTTTTTTTTTCCTGTCCTCACAGTATGTAACGGGATCGACCAATGGCCTTCACCTGTACCTGGTCTGACCCTCAACCTGCCTGTGATGGGCGTGGTCTTACAGGTGAGGAGGAGGAGGGGCTTGGTCACATACACTGCCTATTGGCTACATTTAGTCATGGTATAACTACAGATTCAAATTCATTTCATTGGGATTTAACGTAATGGACCAACACAAAATAGTCCATCCTCTGGAAGTCGGGAGAAACTTGGACATGGATTTCAAAAATTTTTATTTACGAACAAACATCTGAATGTATTCACCCCCTTTAACCGTAAAACCCCTCACAAAGATCTGGTGTGACCAATTGCCTTCAGAAATCACATTTGCAAGTCACATAATAGTGGAAAGGGTCAATTTGAAGTCTTTTGAACGGCTAGTCCTGTCCCACCTGAAGACCCTCACTGACCCCCTCCTGGACCCCCTGCAGTTCGCCTACAGAGCCAACAGGTCTGTGGACGATGCTGTCAACATGGCCCTCCACTACATCCTCCAGCATCTGGACTCCCCAGGAACCTACGCCAGGATCCTGTTTGTGGACTTCAGCTCTGCTTTCAACACCATCATCCCGTCTCTGCTGCAGGACAAACTCTCCCAGCTGCACCGCTCGACTCCCCCTGCAAGTGGATCACTGACTTCCTGTCTGACAGGAAGCAGCACGTGAAGCTGGGGAAACATGTCTCAGCCTCTCGGACCATCAGCACCGGTTCCCCCCAAGGCTGCGTTCTCTCCCCTCTGCTCTTCTCCCTGTACACCAACAGCTGCACCTCCAGCCACCAGTCCGTCAAGCTCCTGAAGTTTGCAGATGACACCACCCTCATTGGACTGATCTCTGGTGGGGATGAGTCCGCCTACAGGTGGAGTCTCACCATCTGGTGTCGTGGTGCAGCCAGAACAACCTGGAGCTCAACGCTCTAAAGACAGTGGAGATGGTTGTGGATTTCAGGAGGAACAAAGCCCCACCCTCCCCCATCACCCTGTGGGACTCCCCCGTCACCACCTTCCTTCCGTTTCCTGGGCTCCATCATCACCCAGGACCTCAAGTAGGAGCTGAACATCAGGACTTGTTCGCTTCCAGGTCTCTGAAGCGGGCTAAAAAGATGGTAGCCGACCCCTCTCACCCCGGACAAAACCTGTTTGTGCCCCTTCCATCTGGCAGGAGGCTGAGGTCCATCAGGACTAAGACCTCCTGCCACACCAACAGTTTCTTCCCGTCGGCTCATCAACAGAGCCGGTTCCCCACTGACTGACTCTGACATTCCACCGGTCACTCCCCTTCACACTGCACACGTCACTTTCTATTCGCTGGTGCACTTTATTTTTAAATTGTTAAATATATATTAACTTTAACTTTTATTCTTTTATTTTAAACTAACCCATAGCCTTATACTACTAACCCATAGCATTATATTTAATTGTATTCCCCATGTACTGTTGTCTGTTGTCGTCCATTGTCATAATGCTATGGGTTAGTAGTATATATTTTATTTTATTCCTCGTGCACTGTTGTCTTGTCATACTGTCTGCTGTTACGCACCAACCGCCAAGTCAAATTCCTTGTATGTTTGACATATTATGGCAATAAATGTTCCCTGATTTATTTGCAGTTTAAATAGACTTAATCTGTTCAGGCCTCGGATGCCTATGGAAACTGTGGAGGAGCGGCAAAGAGCCACAACTGAGGGGGGCGAATCTGTCAACAGGACAACTATTACCTTATACTTCACAAATCTGGCCTTAATGGAAGAGTGGCAAGAAGAAAGCCGCTGTTGAAAGTGAACCAGAAGAAATCCCACAACAGCAATAGCAACATGTAGAAGAAGGTGCTCTGCTCAGAGGAGACCAAAATGGAACTTCTTGGCCTCACCTGAGGCATCTCTCTGTGGAGGAAACTCAACACCACCATCACCTTGAGCACACCACACCAACAGGAAAGCATGGTGGTGGTAGCATCATGTCGTGGGGATGCTTCTCTTCAGCGGCTACAGGAAACTAGTTAGAATGAGCGAAAGATGGATGGAGCCAATTACGGGACAATCCTTGAAGAAAATATGATGGTCTGCAAAAAATGTAAGACTGAGGCGGAGCTTCATCTTCCAGCAGGACAAAGCCCAGGCTTGAATCCAGCTGAGAATCTATGCCAAGATTAGAAAATTGCTGTTCACAGATGGTCTCCATCCAATCTGACAAAGCTTTAGCTTTTTTTACCAAAGTAAATGGGGGAACATTTTGATCTGTAGATGTGCAAAGCTTGTGGAGACAGACTCTGAAAGACTTGCAGCTGTAATTGCAGTGGAAGGGGGTTGTTCCCATTAGTGTTTGTGTCACAATAAAAGGTGTTTGCATTATCATAGTAGTATGCGTTCTCTTATGTTGATTGAAAGGGGAAACTTCTATTCAAGTTTGTAACAGTACAAAATGGGGAAAGGTCTGAGGGAGGTGAACACTTATGCAAGGCACTGTAAGTGAGGTGTTTTAAATGTATTTCCCTTTTCAGATTCTGCAGTTTTAGGCTGCCTAAAAACATCAGGCCGGGGACAGCAGATGGAAATTAGCCTCTCAGGCTAACTCTGGCTCACTTACAGTACAACTGTTGGTGTGCATTATCCCTACAAAATAAATAAATGAATGAATATAAAAAAATAAATCATCAGTATAAAAGGTCTCCTAAAGGTTGTGGGCATTAAAACTACTACTGGTTGAAATGCACTTATTGTTTTAAGTCGCTTTGGATAAAAGCATCAGCTAAATGACATGTGATGTAACTCCCAGTGTGCATTTTACCCACAGACAAAAAAGGATGTAGTTTTGTAATCTTATACTAATATTGCTATAATATTACACTATAGTATAAGGCTGCTCAGTTTTAAGCAACATATTTTCTTCTGACATTTTATAAACGTTGTCTCATTTTAATTATTATTATTATTATTTTTTATTTGAACTTGCAAAACGTCATTTTTTTAAACGTTTTTTTTCCAGGTTCGGATTCCATCAAAAACCGACAAACCAGGTGGAAGTCCAGTGAGACAAACTGCTAAAGAGGTTAGGAAGAGATGAAAGGTGCTGAACAGAACTCCCTGGGACTGAGTAACGGTTTATTTATGTCCTCAGAACCTCCTGCCGGCGCCGACTCTACTGCCAACCATCCACGAGCTGGACCTTTTCAAGTCTGTCCTGTACTTACATCCATCACAGAAACATGATCTTGTCCTAACTCCTGTCCATCAGTGATCATTAGCTTCACCGTCTCCCACTCTCTCAGGTGCTTCCAGTCGGTCCTGGTCCACCTGCAGATGTTCTGGGAGCTCATGTTGCTAGGGGAGCCGCTGGTCATCATGGCGCCGTCTCCCACTGTCTCCTCGGAAACCGTGCTGGCTCTCGTCAGGTGACTGAGCGGTCGAAAGTAAAATTATACACTGTGATGTCACAGACCTGCTAGCCAATTGGAGGGCGGCGTTTGGGCTATCATCATGGCAACAATGCGTCCTCTCTTAGTTCCATCAGTCCTCTGAAGTTCTGCTGCGACTTCCGTCCATATTTCACCATCCATGACAGCGAATTCAAAGAGTACACGACAAGGACTCAGGCCCCGTGAGTACCTGTCTGGGTCTCGACTGTGTGGGTCTCAACCTGTCTGGGTCTCGCCTGTTTGGGTCTCACCTGTCTCTCTCCCTCTCATCTGTTCAGGCCTAACGTGGTTCTTGGAGTCACCAATCCGTTCTTCATTAAAACTTTCCAGAACTGGCCTCACGTCATACGACTTGGAGAAACCAAAATGGCAGGTAAAAGAAGATGTTTTGATTTCATTCTTTCTTTATCTACAATCATCTACAAGTCACAGGTGGGTGACTTGATCGTCAGGTGAGTGTAGATCGTAGATGGGACCAGTGTAGAGTGCCGTTTTGGAAAATCAGGTGATACTTTGAAGTTAAACCGAGCTTGATCAGACAGAATGTTACTAATTGACCTTCTCTCTCAGGTGATCTACCTAAACAGGTGAAAGTGAAGAAACTTTCCAAGTTAAAATCCCTGGACACTAAGCCAGGTAACACCTGTGTCTCTATTCTCCTGTTGGATGTTTTAACGCAATCTACTAATGGATGTTAACTTCCTGTGTACAGGTATCTACACGGCCTTTAAGACGTTTCTACACAAAGACAAGATTCTTATAAAGAGACTGTTGAAGGTGAAAACATTACTGTGATCAATATTTATTGATCTGAAGATGATTGATGATGAAATGTTGGAACCTGTGTCTCCAGGGGATTCAGAGGAAAAGACCTTCAGAGGTTCAGAGCGCGATCTTAAGGAGACATCTGTTAGAGCTCACTCATAGCTTCATCATCCCGCTAGTAAGTGGACCGCCAATGGGTTGATTTAACTTCTAGTCCCAATTAGTCTAGTTAGTTATGTCTAGTTATTAGTCTAGTCCCAACCAATTACAATAATTCTATGTTAAATCCCAAAGGTATGAATGGATTTGAGTCCACATGTTCCTGATCTGCTCCTCTCTCTAACATTGTAACATCAAACCATCAATAAATAATTGTCCGCTGTAATCGAGTTGTCTCTTACCTGTCTCTCACCTGTCCCTGTCTTTTGTCCCATAGGAGCGCTATATGGCGAGCCTGATGCCTCTGCAGAGGTCGGTGACACCGTGGAAGGTAAACAGGAAGAGGATCCCTGCCGTTGACCTCACAATGAAATCATCAGTTAGTTAATGTATTTATGTGTTCAGACTCCTCCTCAGGTTCGACCCTTCAGTCAGGACGAGTTCATGTCCACTCTGGATCACACCGGGCCTCAGCTCACCTCAGTGCTCAAAGGTGATTGGATAGGACTGTACAGGTGAGTCCAAAGGTGATGCCCTTAATAACTGTGTCACCACCTCACAGAGCATATAGGAGGGTCGGGCAGGTCGTTCCTGTTAACTAACTAATGACTCATTTCTTTCTGCAAGTGAAGCAGAAAGATTAAGAAGATGTTTGTTTCATGTTCAATAAAAGCTGAACTAATTCATCTTCTTTGTGGTTTGAACTCTTGACAGGAAATTTTTCAGGTCTCCAAACTTTGACGGATGGTATCGTCATCGACACAAAGAGATGACGCAAAAACTGGAGAGTCTTCACCTGGAGGTCATCTGTGACGCTGTTAGTTAGTTATCTTATCAGACACATTGCAAACATCTGGACCACTGTTGACATCTGTATGTCCTCCAGTACAACATTAAGGGAAGGAATCACTAAAGACACCTTCACCACCTTAAACATCTCGGATGACTGTTAAAATCTGGATCACTTCATAGCATCTGGCCCGCTTGAACATCCTGCTCTCTGCCCCTCAGGACCTGGTGAGTTGGACTAAAGATAAATCTGAGGTGGAAATCGTCGACTTGGTTCTGAAGCTGAGAGAGAAACTGGTGAGACAGAATCCTACTAGAATACTTGTACTACTCATGTTTACTAGGTGTTGTACAGTGTGTGTTTTAGTGAAAACGAGGAGCAGCTGGATCCACAGTGCTTGCTTTGTAAATATTTATGTATTTGTGTCTTCTGCTCAGGTTAAAGGTCGCAGGCTGCAGTTGAAGGACGAAGCTTTGGACAAACTGGACTCTTTTATAAACTCTACCATCACCTCACTGCCTGGGGACCTGCAGAGGGTGCTGAGTGCACGCTGAGTATACGCTGTGTACAGTGTGTAGAGTACACAGTCTGCACGCCGAGTACACAGAGTACAGAGTATGCACGCTGAGTACACAGAGTACAGAGTATGCACGCTGAGTAAACACCTTAACATGTATTATAAAATCTCCACAACGAACAGATGGAGATTTGATACATTTATTTTGATTATTTATGAATCAGTTTCTTTTCACGTATTTATTAATATTTTTCGCAACACCTTTTGTTTAAATGGTTGTTTAACTAATAAATAATAGTTTAACAATGACCAGATGTTTTTTTTTTATAGTGTTTATTGAACTATTAATGTGGTTTAACTTTTCTTTCTTCTCAAAACATCTGTAAATGTTTGGATTTGAAAGTCAAACTTTTTTTATTTTGTTACATATTGATCAAAATGATGCATTGTGTTCTCTTGATGAAAGTTTATCGTAAGAAGACATGACTCATCATGTCACAAATGTGACATGAAACATCACTTAGTTCAAATCAATTAAATCTTCATTTCACAACATAGAAATGAGACAAAACAAATCAGTATTGCGTGTGTGTATAATATATATATATATATATATATATAGAGAGAGAGAAATAAACCAGACTCCCATCTACTGTCAATTTTGATTTCCAAATGCCCCGCCTCTTGTTGGTCCACCAGGGGGCCCGGTGGACTCTGCTATAAATGTTGCTCCAGCAGAAGGTGCGGTGGACTCTGATCCAGGTGGTGGTCCACCTGGTGGCTCTGTGGACTCTGATCCAGATGTTCTACCTCTTGTTGTTCCACCACGTGGCGCTTTGCAGCCCCATGACGGTGGTCTTCTCCTGTGGACTGAAGTGCAGGATGGTCAGGATGGCATTGAGCGTCTGCTGCCTCCCGCTGGCGTCCTGCAGGGTCAGAAACTTGTAAGTGACGTTCTTCAGGTACTCCATGTTGGCGCCCTCTCTGCTTTGATCTCTGATCAGTTTGTCCAGTTGTCCTCGCAGTGCGGACGCCTCCTCGTCGTGCCGCTCCCCCTTCGCAATGAGCCTAGCCTGCAGCTGGTGGACGTCGTCCTCCAGCCGGTGCTTCTGCCGCCGCAGGTTTCCCACCTCCACCTCCTTCCTGGCCAGCTGTTCAGCGTACAGCAGCAGCGTGGGCTCGGTGGGCGTCGGCCACCGCAGAGCCTGACTGATGATGTCACCCTCGGTCTCCAGGCCAGACTCCTGCATGTTGTCGGCCGTCCTGTCAGTGTCGTTGGTGCAGGTCGGCACCGCGGCACGCAGCCTCTCCAGCTCCTGGTCCTTCTCGTTCAGCAGCGCCATTGTCCTCTCTCTCTGTTTGTGAAGCTCCTCTTCCAGTCGCAGCAGGTCGTCGCGGTGCGCCACCTCAGTCCGTTCCACTTCCTGTTTGTGAGTGTGCTGCAGCCCCGCCGACTGCTGCTGCACCTCCTCCAGCCGGCGGCGGTGTCGGGTCTCGGCCTCGTCGCTCTGGATCCGCAGGTTGATGTACTTCTCCCTTAGTTCGGACAGCTGGTCCCGGACCTCCTCCAGCTCTTTGGCCTGAGAGCCATCTTTGGCGTTTTTGTTCTTCAGCACAACCTGTGCTCGCAGCTTGTAGCGCTCAAACTCGTCTTTGAGCTGCTGAAGCTCCTGCTGCTGGAGCAACGAGGCTTTGTCTCCGCCCAACTCCGCCTGGGTGTCCACCAGGTCCTGGATGATCTGGTTTGGGTTCCTCTGAGCTGCCAGGACCAACAGCTTCTTCAGCTTCTCCAGCTTCTCCTTCAGCACGCAGATGTCCAGCTGAGACTCATCCACGCCGAGGTCAGAAGTCATCCTGCTGGCCAACGTCTTGTTCTCCGTGTCCAGCTGCAGGATCCGGTCTCTGAGTCTCTGAGCTGTCTGCTGGTCTCTCTGCCTCGTCTTCTCACAGGAACCCAGAAGCTCTGAAAGTTCGGAGATTCTCTGCTCCAGACCGGCGACCCTCGCCTCTGCAGCATGAGCGCGCTCCAGGAGTCGAACCTCCACCTCGCAGGCCTGTAAAGAACAACCAGGCAGGAGTTTAAACCTAGAGGAAGGGTCAGGGTCCCTGTTTTGACGCCCTGGTCTCAATACACTTGTGTTGTAGTTAGTTTGGTTGGTGCAGGTCTCTGTTTACCTTTGTGGTCTCGAGGTGAATCTGCTGCTGGAAGTGTTTTTTCAGCTCCGTCAGCTCCTGTTGCAGTTCATTCACTCTGGGATCTGGTTTCTTCTGGTCCTCCTCGACAGCCAGCAGCCTCTTCCTGAGCTCGTCTCTGTCCTCCCTCACCTGGTTCAGGTGAGCCTCTGACTCCGCCCCCCGATCCACGGCCTGTGATGTCATGAGGAGAGTGGCGTTGGCGTCTTGCAGGCGGAGCTCCGCGTTCTGTCGCAGGTCTCTCTCCTGCTGTAGGATCCTCTGCAGCTCCCTTAGCTGCTGGACGTGGTCGCCCTGCTCTTGCTCCCTCTCGTGCTGCTGCGTGATGATGCGAGCACGGCCCTCAGCCAACTGCTGCTGGAGGGCGCACAGCTCCACCTCCTGCTGTGTTGTCACAGCAACCAGGCGGTCCTGGAGCTCCTCCATTTCCTGTTTCAGCTGGCGCTTATCAGCCTGAAAACTGGCCTCCATTCGAGACTTCTCGTGCGTCACTGTGGCGAGGGCGCTTGTGAGTGTGCTCAGTTGTTTCTTTAACTGGGCGAGTCGACGGTCCACCTCTGTGCTGGGAGGGGGTGTGGCCTGCTGACGTGGCTCCACCCCCATACCGCAGTTATCTGAGCCACCGGTGCTGGAATCAGACCTCCGGGTCTGCAGGGACAAAAGTCATCAAACACAAGTTTGACCTACATACATACATACATCAGTGTCATCAAACATACCAGGGAACTGGACCTAGATCCCGGTTCTCCCTGGTCCTTTTCCCCCTGGTCATCTCGGGTGGTCTCACTGGACATGTCCACAGAGACTGCAGTGTCCACACTGTCCTCACTGTGCAGAGAGGAGCCGTCATCTTGGAGGTCTAAGGTGGTTCTGGTGTCCTGGCATTGTTGGTTGAGCTCCACCTCCTGGGTCACAGCCAAGACCTTAAAACTTGCCTCCAGAGCCTCCTTCTCCTTGAGAAGACTCTTATAGGCCTGGACCACGTCTTTGAAGCGGGTCTGGTACTGGACCAGCTGCTTCTTCTGGGACTCAATGGTGTCCAGTAGCTCCTTTCTTCCGGAACTGCCCCCAAAACTCATCCCAAACTTCTCCATGTCTCTGAAGGTCTGCTGCAGCTGGGTCAGACCAACGGTCCACCAGGATCAGTCTGGGTTTTAATACTTAAGATGTGACATAATAACTATTTTTGTTATCTGATCTGATGATCCAAACTCTTAATTCGAGAAATTAACTATTTGATTTAAAACAAATATACGTTATAAACTACATATACAGTGTAAATGCTCGAGTCGGGTACGAGTACCCTTAAAATCAAAAAGACAGAGTAGAGACACATTAGTGACGTATGAGGTTTAAACACAATATTTGATATTCACCACAAACATCGACGTTAATATCCGGTTGTCTAGGGTTCTTACCTAATTAGAAACACCCGGTCACCGACTGAGGGTTTTAACAAACAGAAACGTTTCTAAAATGTTTCATTGAGTAAACATTAATAATATAATTTCAGTTTAAACTGGAGAGACCGTCATTGTACAGCCGCCATGTTGGTCTGAACCCGGACTGGAGGCGGAAGCAGGAATCCATGCTGCGTTCACGGGACTCAGGAAAAATATCTTTATTTTTGAATAAACGTAGGAAGTAGTGTGAATTATTGAATACATGAAACGCAATATAATGTTAACGTATTGATAGTGTAATCGTTATTGATACAATATTGACTTCAAAACAAATTAAATAAAAAGAGCAACAACATGAGAGAAAATAATCATACACACAATAAAGACAATCATTCTTACTCTTATTATTTTTTTCATCAAACATGTATTGTATGTTATTGGTTGTATTACAATCTTCAATAAAGTATTAAGCACATAAAATAATAATGCTATATAGTGACATTAATACAAAACTTGCTTGTGTGTTAAACTATTTAAAAAATAAAATAAAATAAACAATACACCTAGAGTTAAATTTGGTATGAGTTCATATACAGGATTACTTGAATAAACCTCCTTATAAATCATCGTATCTTTCATCTTTGATCTAATCAGTGAAATCCAATAATTTGGCTCACAAATTTATTCTTTCCCTGAGTGTGAACAGAAGCTTGTATTAAGAGTGAGAGCTTTTTATGGGTCAGGACACTTATCAGATGTTAAATAGTCGGTCGAATGAGTTGTATCCCTTCTAGTAGAACTTGAACGCACCAGGAGCCTGCGTGGCTCAATAAAGTTTTATTTCAGTGACGTAATTTGTGCTGCGTCGGTCTGGACGTGGCACCGACGAGGAGCTGCTTCCTCTCCGCCGACTCTCCGGGTTCTTCAGCGGCACCGACGGGCAGCTTCTCCCGGAACAACCGGCTCGTGATCTCTGCCATCTGGTTTTCAACCTTCCCGCAGCATAACCGGGATATCTTTGGGCTATAAAATGGGCTTGACTATCTCCTCCTTGTTTACGAGGTTGTTCGGGAAGAAGCAGATGAGGATACTGATGGGTGAGTACCGCGGCTCGGCTAACTAGCTCCCGTGCTAGGCTAACTAGTACCGAGGCTTACAAGCTCCCAGGTATTCTAACTAGCTCTCGGGACAAACTATTTCCAACGTTGAAATGCTTCTCTACCGAAACCGGAAATGATCGGAAGTGTACGGCCGTTATTAACGCGTCATTGATGTTGTCAACGCATGATTTGAAGCTGAATAATATGGAGCTGTTCCCGGATCTTTAGAGAAGATCTCGTCTCGTTTCAGTCGGTTTGGACGCTGCCGGTAAAACAACAATCTTATACAAACTGAAGCTCGGAGAGATCGTCACCACCATCCCGACTATCGGTGAGTGATCGATCACACATGACATCACTAACTGTAAGTAATTGATGACTCGTTGATAACGCACTCACAGGTGGACCGTCACGTGGTCACTGCCGGCAGCTGTTTGGGTCGTTGAGACCAACAACGTTTTGAAACATTCAACTAACATTAACGTTAGTTCTGAAACCAATTTAGTCCATAAGTAGAGCTGCCTGCCTCACAGTCTGTCAACAGATACCTAAATAGTCTCTAATGACTTCACCTGTTTCTGTTCCAGGGTTCAACGTGGAGACCGTTGAGTACAGAAACATCTGTTTCACAGTTTGGGACGTTGGTGGTCAGGACAAGATCCGTCCTCTGTGGAGACACTATTTCCAGAACACACAGGTACACACCTGAGACAAGGACAGAATATTGTTTTATATTATAAACATTGTTGTATTAATTGTATTTATGAATAGTGTAGCACGTGATGATGATTATCTGGTTGACCTCTGACCCCTCAGGGTCTGATCTTTGTGGTCGACAGTAACGACAGAGAGCGAGTGGCAGAATCCGCTGAGGAGCTCTCCAAGATGGTGAGTGTCTCTCCGCCTGTCTGTATATTTTAAAATCCAACAAATCCTGAACTATCTGAATGTTCACCAGAGAGACGTGCATCACATGCAAAGGATTGTGGGAGTTCTATGAGCGCAAACTATAAAACCATAATCTAATGGCTCTTTTTAGCGGTGGCAGCTGGTGTTTTTTTCTTTTTTTTCTTGGTAATCCGTTTCAGTAAACATCCCAGTGTGATTTAATGCAAAGAAAAGGTATAAAACACGCATTATTAAGGACATCTTCTTCAAACAATTCAGTGTGTGTATACATATGTATAGTCCATGTTTCAAAAACAGAAAGACACATATTGCCAATTTGTAAAATTTATTTTTTGGGAGGGGGGGCCACGCCCCATTGCCCTCTATGGACCAGCCCCCACTGCTTTTTAGCCCTATGATGTCTCATGAATGTGGATGTTTGCCACATGACTCTATAGATCCAGGAGGATGAGCTGAAGGAGGCAGTTCTTCTGGTTTTTGCCAACAAACAGGATCTTCCAAATGCGATGGGAGTCAGTGAACTCACCGACAAACTGGGTCTGCACAGCCTCCGAAGCAGAACTGTAAGGATCAATATATCAGCCATCAATACTGCTGCTCAGATGCTTTAAAGTTGAATAAGAGTAGAATGAAGCTGATCAATATGAATGATGTGGTCATGCTGATGAATCTCACCTGTCTGTGTCCCCAGTGGCATGTGGAGGCCACCTGTGCCACTCAGGGTACTGGTCTGTACGAGGGTCTGGACTGGCTGTCCAATGAGCTATCGAAGCGTTAGACCAGCTGACCGGAAGCAGCAGACTGATGTCATCGACTGATTCCTGTGTACAAAGCGCTGAAGGGCAGAAGGAGCGTTTACCTGAACTGTTTTGTTTTTTTTAGTATATCTGTAGGAAGTAGTGATGGACTCTCAGCTCATCCTCTTCTTCTGTTCTCCCTGTTAACGCTGTTTTTTCTTGTCTTCTTTTAATCCGCATGTTTTACAATCATGTGATAGGAAGTGATGAAAAGGCGGGGTGGGGCTTATCACAGCTCAGGGTTAGGGCTTTGACAGGGGAGAATACCTGGAGGCGGGGCTTGGGACGGGTGACTGTATGGGGGCGGTACTTTAGAGAATACCTGTGGGAGAAAACCTGTGGGCGGGGCTAACGGTGACAGTTGTGTGACTCGTTCTTCTGACCCGAACCTGAACGCCTCGTCATTCCTTGACAATGTGAAGAAGCAGCAAGACAACAGTGATGCAATAAATGGATTTCTTTTTATAAAAACTGAAGGTACAAAAATTAAAATATTTATTAAATGTTTTTTTTTATCTTGAACTGATAGTTTGATTTCCTGTTGAGGCTGAAAATGAATGATGAATATTCGCTTTAATGTTTTGTTTAATGTTAATATTAGTTATTTCTCAACATAAGCGTCTTTTATTTGCATGTTTCATTTGTCATTTTATAGTTTAACTATTAAAGCAATAAAAACATGAAAGGGATCTATGAATCATTTACAGAAATAGAATAAACAATCGGTTTAGCAGTTTAAAAAAACCCAAACGTTCAGTTTAAATCATTTTATTCAGTTAAATACACAAATTGAAATAACTGGAGTTTAACAGGGTTAGCAACACTGAAGACGAAGAAATGACCTCTAAGTGCTGATTGGTTCCTGCTGGTTGTTCTGACGTTTGACCACAAATACTTTCTGACCCGAGACCGTCACCATGTAAACGAAATCCTCGAGAGTCACTGAGGAGAGAAGACGACGTGTCAGCACAGGTGAGGGGTCACCGGACCCCGGCACAGAGGAGAGGGCCTCCACCAAAGCAAGCGCTTGGTTACCTGACATGCGTTTGAAGGGCGGCTCAGCTGATCCAGGTAATTTAAATCGACTTGCTGTTCGAACCATCTGCATCATCACGGCTGCTGTTTGTTCATCGTTCTCCAGCTCACCTGCTGACTGATGACGGGACACGGGGTCAAGGGTCAGGAAACTATTGTCTGACATACAGCACCAACCTATTTAAAATCTATTGATTCATACCAATCTGTGATAATGATTGTTCATCCCAGAATATTTATAGAAGTACAAACTACGGTTAGTCGTTTTTGTTTTCAGTTATCTACATATTCTTTGTGGATGTGACTTCAACCGCATTCAAACCAGCTAAAACACAAGCTTTTCCCACTAATCCCAGAAAGTCGGATGGCCTCTGGCGCTTTGTCTCGGGTCGGCGACACTCACAGCCAGAACTCCGTCCTCACTGATGACCAGGTACCCGAGCTGATCCGGGATCCGCTCCAGACCCGCAGTCAGAGCCGCTGTCGTCTGTCAACAACAGACCGCATCACACCGAGCTAACAGGCTAACAGGCTACAGAAGTCCGAGGACCATGAACGTCACAGCGAGAATTCAAATAGCTTCATATGCGAGAGTCAAAGCAAACATTAAAGCCCTCAGAACCACCACCTCGATTCAATTAATATGCAATTACTATCGGAACTCACCATTTCTTCTACTGTTTTAGCAGCTGCTGATCCGCGACATTTCTGCTTTTTTTTGGGCGAGGAAGCAAATGCTGCACATGCGCAGTAAGATCTGTTATTCTTATTTCATTCACTTTTCAAATTGTCAGTGTAGCAGTTAGGCGCACGAGGCAGCTTAATTAAATAATGTGAAGGGTCACGCGATGAGAGGGAAGTTTAACTCATAAGCTTAACTTCATAAAATCTGATTAAAGAAAATATATTTAATGAAAAACTTTAACTGCAGGTTCCTGTGACGCTGCACGCGCTCACACCCCATTGGTCCAGTACCCAGCCAACGGTCTCGTGATTTTTCATGTGACTAAAACGTTCACGTCCGGTCGGAAATTACGAAGAGTTTAGTTAATAATAAAACCGGCAAAACATCATTGACCTTAATATACACATACTTGCATGCAAGATAGAAGTACATGGTCATCTGGTGACTCTTTGAATATCAATAAAACGTTGATAAAGCACAATAATACTATGTTATTGCACAGAAAGTGCTTCATGTGGTTTATATCATTCGGTCATTGGTCATTAATCAAATAAATGGCATTAGGCGTCTTTGGTTTCACTGCTTTTCACAAAACTTCCACTATTAAGAATTCCTTCAATCATTGGTTCAATGACTTAGATAAAACGAGAACCGGACGTCACTGCAGCAGCCAGCGCGCGCACAGGCTTTTCTTTAACTAAAGCGGAAGTGTCGGTCAGCTGACAGTATCACGTGACCGTTAGCTGGAACGAAGGTAAGCTCCGGTTCCTCGTCTCTCCGTTTGATCGACAGATACTTCGCTATGGCTGGACGCGGGAAACTGATCGCCGTTATCGGTGACGAGGACACGTGCACCGGATTCTTGCTCGGGGGGATCGGTGAGCTCAACAAGAACCGGAAACCCAATTTCCTGGTGGTGGAGAAGGACACGAGCATCACGGAGATAGAGGAGACCTTCAAGTAAGACGTCACCTGACGTGTCAACAGCCAGACTTCGTTCAGATATCTCATCATTTAATAATTCACTCAGATATGAAGCCACTGTTTTAACTTTAATCACAAGGGAGCCAGATGTCAGCTTTGTGACGTCACATCACACATAAGACAGCCAGCTACAGATGTCAACGGTGTGTGTGTGTGTGTGTGTGTGTGTGTGTGTGTGTGTGTGTGTGTGTGTGTGTGTGTGTGTGTGTGTGTGTGTGTGTGTGTGCGCGCGCGCGCGCGCTCAAAGGGGTTCTCGGTTCCATTATTTCAGTTAAATGCTATGCACGTTCTGTACATCAGGAGACAGTTATTGCCATAATATGTCAGACATACAAGGAATTCTCTATTGCTCTAACATGCTCTAACCCCCCATCCCCTAAAGTGGTAAACTAAATGGAAACCCCATCATATGGTATGCAGTCTGATTCAATTCAGTCTTTTCCACCAACATATGATTCATCGCAGTGATCTCATGAAAACGTGTGTGTTCAATACAACTAATACTACTATATTTTCCAACATGGCTCGAGTCTCGAGATGAGGAGTAGTGATGGCGAGATGAAGCTTTATGAAGCATTGAAGCTTTCCATCCAATTGTGTCACACGTGGACCGAAGCTTCATGCTGCTTAATTTGCGCCACCAAGTGGACAATAAATGAAATGACACCATGGCTTTGACGTGTGAAGCATTGAATTGAATAAGTGAATGATATTTGTGATGCGTGATACATAACTTACGAACTTCAGATTTATTTACAGTATATTACGCTAGTTATTAATAACATATTACTATGTGCATATCTAATTATGAGAAATCAGCTCAAAATGTTCCCAGACAGGAGAAAATCTTTTTCCTGCTGGTTCCATCACAGAAAAAAGAAGCTCGAATAGATTGTAAACAAACGCTTCGAAGCCTCGAAAACGAACATCACATCACTAATGAGGAGGCGGGCGCATGCGCCCCCAACCCTGCCAATCCACAACATGCCACCTGCCACTTTTTGATCTTGACATCACTCCAAATAATAACAAAAGAGTACTAAACATCCTGACATAAACATACGATTAGCTGTGATTGATTCCTAAAATATTTTTTTATACTGCGAATTACTCTCCACAGTCGAGGTGTTTAACTGATGGTACTTTGAATGGAGTCTGGTTTGTCTGTTCTCTGCTTCTTCATCTTCATTTATTTATTCATAAATCATGTTTCAATGTTTATTTTGACCAGAAATCTTGAAGTTATGTTGTTTGTTTAGCACTCTGGATCGGGTGTAAACGAAGTCCGTGTCAGAGATTGCCTTTCTGCATTTAATTAATTGCACACAAATCGTTCTCTCATGATGCTCTCCCAAACCCTCACAATACACGACTCCATTTTGTTGAAAATACTATGGGAGCGCTAATGAAGATAACGCTAATAAAAGTAACTCTTTAAAATCTAATTCATACATGCATACCAAGGTTGTGAAATGATGGTTGTTAAACAAAATAAAGACATTCCAAAATAGAAATGAGAAAAGATGCATTTTAAAGTGTTTTATGAGCTAGGGTTAAATTAACGGACCGCCTCCTTCCGCCTCCACAGGAGCTTCTTGGCCCGTAATGACATCGGCATCATCCTCATCAACCAGTTCATCGCTGAGATGATCCGCCACGCCATCGACGGCCACATGCAGTCCATCCCGGCGGTGCTGGAGATCCCTTCCAAGGAGCACCCGTACGACGCCTCGAAGGACTCCATCCTGCGCCGGGCCAAGGGCATGTTCTGTGCCGAGGACTTCCGGTAGACGGGTCCATACGCCTCGACTCATCAGTCGATTCATGGATCGATGGGTCGTCCGCTCGTCTGTCCTCACGTCTCCTTCTGTTTAATCTTCAGGAAGCTGGGGATTGAAAGAAGCTTAAATAAGAATGGTTTTCCTTCCTCTGTGCTTTAAATGTTTTGTTTGTTCCAGATGTTTTAACTTATAACAATATAACCAATGTTGAAGAAAATAAATGAACTTGTTTGTGATGTTCTGCTTAGTCTGTTTTATTCAAATCAAAATTAAACTCAATCTAATCAATACATTTTCTCTGATGCCGAGCTCCTCTCCGCCTCCACTCAGAGGCACCTTAAAGAGGAAACTAATTTTGGCTTCTCAAAATGACCTTGTTCTTTGACAACCTTTTAATATTTCATGTTTTAATCTTTAACTATTAAATATACCGTATTTTACTATTTAATATCTCATTGATATCATGTCTTTCTCTGACTACTTAATAACTATTTCATCTTAGACTTTTAGTTTAAAGAGATTCAATATTTAAGTGTTCTTCTACAGAGTCCACGAAGGGCTCCTTCCGGTTGATCCTAAACCACTCGGGCTTCAAAATAAAAGTATATCATACGGACCCTTACTCTGAAAGGGCCGGTGCCGGACGTGAGTGGAGCGCGTTCCGGTAGATAAGCCAACGTCGGCCGGCCGCTCGTCTCACTCTCTCCGTAGTCACCGGATCGATCATCATGTCTTCAGACCCGTGCTCCTTCTCCTGCGTCACCAGATGCGTCACCAGACACCTGAACCTCACCCTGCGCGTGGACTTCGACCGGCGCGTCATCCGAGCCAAGGTGGAGCTGACGGTGGAGGCTCTGGAGGACCGCTTCTCCGCCCTGGTAACGTTTACGCCGCGGTGTTGTTTCCCACCGTGTGTGTGGTCCTTGAAGGCGTCGCCGATCAACCACATTGTTAATGAAGATACATTCCATGATGTTTGGCTCATAAAAAACTTTAACAGACGTAAAGAAACTTTTGACTTCATGAGCAGAACGCAACTGTTCAAAAGTCAATTTATCCAGAAATGTAATCATCTTCTAATCATGTTAACCTGCTCTTCATCCAGCTCACCATGTTCATTTCAATTTCAAATATGTTTAACTTCTACAGTTGAGGTTTATAAATATTCTTTAACTAACCTTTCGCTGTTCTTGTTTATGTAGTTTTGTGTGAATCACTTCCGGTGTAGGAACGGAATTTCTGACGTGATTCAATTTATTGATCAGACACGTTCATCTTATCTTGTATTTGGAATAAGGAAACTTTAAACGTTTAAGATAACGAACCTCTGTTATTCAAGGTCATTCCACTTTTGGGTTTGATGTACAGAATATGATCTATATTTAAATTCACTTTTAAACCGTTGGTTTTTACATTTTGTTAAAACTGTTGAATTTGACTGCTGCTTTAAAGAATTTAGATTTTATGCTTTCAACTGATATTAACCAAACCACCATTTCTATTAATATTTCAGCTCCTTGATGTGATGGTATTGTTGTAAGGATTTTCACTTTGGTGACTCGCTGACTCGAATCACAAAAACAAATAAAATGATTGTTTGAAGTCAACGTGGTGACAACGCAGATTTCTCTTTTTAATGCGTTCTGTTTTATTAACCTGAACTTTGATCAGAGTGTACAGATGAGCACAGGTAAGCGGACTGAGCGCATTAGCCTCATTAATACAGAAACGTATCTATTAATAATAGATAGCAATTAATAATGGTTCTACCTGAAGACCATCAGGACCAAGACCCCCCCTCAGCAGTTTGTCTCATTGACTGAAAGACTCCTTCCCGGAATCGTTTTACACAGTGGTTTCTCTCCATGGAAACATATGGACACGTGTTTTAGCATACTTATCGCTTCATATTGTTTTTACTTTAGCTTGTATATTTTTTATTCTATTTTACTTCATCTTATTGTGTTCTTATATTGCAGACATTCACCAGGTCAAATTCCTCCGTGTGTAACATGTGGCAATAAATGGCTTCTGATTCTGACCTACAGACTTTGGACACAAAAGACCTGCAGGTCGTCTCGGTGACTGCGAATGGACAAGCGGCGAGCTTTACGATGGGCCCCAAGCACAGCTTCAAGGGGACTCCGCTGGACATCACGTTGCCCTTTGACCTCTCCAGGTATCCCCCACGCCCCCCTCTGTCACACCATGCATTGTGTCTTTAGAATGACGTGTGACTAATGTACTGGTGCTGTGGACCAATCAGAGGGCAGCATGTGATCGTGGAAGTGACCTATGAGACGTCTCCGTCTGCGTCGGCGCTGCAGTGGCTCTCACCTGAGCAGACTGCCGGGAGGAAGCAGCCGTACCTGTTCAGTCAGTGCCAGGTGACTCCGATCGCTGCAGATCAATAATCCGCAGTCGCACATGTTTTGAAATAACAGCCAAAGTTGTGTCATGAAATTAAGAAATTTGAGGTGTCGACAAATTCTTTCAAAACGTTGTCTTGCTTCCTCTTTTTTTCTAAAAGTTTCCTCCGAGTATTGATCATAAAGTTCTGAAAGTACAAAGGAGCATTTGATTGCATAACCGGGCTCCAGTCTGAGACTCCATTACAGATATTCGTGTTCTTACCAGCAGCACAGAATCATTGACATAATAAAGGTATGAAAGATGATCAACGTGTGTCTCTAATGAGTCCGTGTTGTCATGAAGGCTCATCACTGCAGGAGCATGATTCCCTGTCAGGACAGTCCGTGTGTGAAACACACCTACTACGCCCAGGTAACCCACACAAAGTCACCTATTGTGCCCTGCGGCTTGTCTGGCAGGTATACCTCCCCTCACAGGTGTGTCTTATCGTTCAGGTGTCAGTACCTAAAGACCTGGTGACTGTGATGAGCGCAGTGAGAGACGGACAGGAAGTCGATCCTCAGGACAATAACCGCGTCCTCTACAGGTTCAGACAGACGGTCAGTACTCTGATGTCAGCGATGATGCCATGAGCTCAATAATAAATGTTTCAGGAATATATGTTTCCGTGCTATTATACTTGCTGACCAGGTTAATAAATATATCTGTTAAAAAATATATATATAAATTACAGTGTATATATACCGTATTTTCCGCACTATAAGGCGCACCGGATTACAAGGCACATAAGATCCTGCAGTCAAACGTTTGGCGTCATGGCGGGTGGATGGGGGGAGGTGGGGCGGTGGAGACGGTGCTTTCAGGGTCCGATGGATGCTGCGAGGTGCGTCCGCTCTCGCCGCCCCCCTCGCCATCCACGCCTTAAATCTTCGGCTGTTTTTAGAATAACTTATTTCCCCGTTAAGATGGTTCAGCTACTGTAGAGAAAAGGGCGCCGTCTCTCGCTCTTTAATCTCATGAAGTGCTCGGCGAGAACAACAGCTTTGTTTCTCCGACGCGCCCTGAAAGCAGCTCCATATCTCACGCGCTTGAGCGCCGCTCAGCATCTCGCCGTCGTAGACGAGCTTTGCCGTGTTTGGCAGAGCGCCTTGAGCGCCGTGTACAACCAGTATGGATCAACCGAGTAACCAATTGATCCATGTATAAGGCTCCGGATTATAAGGCACTGTTGTTTTTTGAGAAAATTTTAAGGCTTTTAAGTGTGTGTGTGTGTGTGTCATTAACCTGGTCAGCGACTTTAAACGTTACTAAAACATGTTGAGATGTCAAAGATCACCTGCAGATCCTCTGCTTGACCTCTGACCCTGTTCCTCAGGTGCCCATGCCTTCTTACCTGATAGCCATTGCGGTCGGCGCTTTGGAAAGCAGGTGATGATGTTTCTCAGGGCCGTCGACTGACGTCTCACTGATGCGTTCCGTGCAGCAGGTAAACACTGGTTCTGTGCTCCACAGGGAGATCGGGCCCAGATCCAGAGTTTGGTCTGAGAAGGAGTTTGTGGATAAAGCAGCATTTGAGTTCTCTGAGGTGAGTCTCCAACATCCCCAACTGGTGTCACTGGAACCGGTGCCCCCCCCCACCGGAGCCGCTTCACTGCTCACTTATTGACACTCTACATGTTTTTCTGTTTGCCATATATTATAGTATGACATTTATATCTATTTTTTATTTACATGTTATATGATGTTTTAATGCTAAGGACAGGAGACTTGGAGAGGAAATATTCATATAATGAATTTCCACCATGTGGCACATTCATACATACTTCACGTTCCCTCAGACGGAGGCCATGCTGAAGGCTGCCGAGGACCTGGTTGGGCCGTATGTTTGGGGTCGCTACGACATCCTGGTTCTTCCTCCTTCTTTCCCCTACGGAGGGATGGAGAACCCCTGCCTGACCTACGCTACACCCACCCTTCTGGTACACACACACACACACACACACCCACCAGTGGTTATTCTACCTGTCCTGCATCATGTGACTGATTCCCCTGTCTTTTCACAGGCAGGAGACAAGTCTCTCTCCAATGTGAGTAGAAGACCTGCTCACCTCCCATCCTGGAGGACTCGTTGACCCGTGTTCACATGTTTGTTCACGTGTTTGTTCACGTGTCGTCCTCCCCTCAGGTGATCGCTCATGAGATCTCACATAGCTGGACCGGAAACCTGGTGACCAACAAGACCTGGGAACACTTCTGGTAAACTACACAAAGAACATCACAAACTGACTTTTTATTTAATGTTTGAGTTTATTAAATTGAATTTATACATTTGAACATAAAAGCTCCTCCATTTCGTTATTTCCGTTATTTATCACTTAAATGTAAGGAAATAAACTTTTTTTTGGAAGGTCTCTAGATTAATTGAAGTTTGTACTTTAATTGATGTATTGATTGTGGTTGGAGGCTCCATTTAATAAAGCGCTGCTCTTTGTGCTCAGGCTGAACGAGGGTCACACGGTCTACCTGGAGAGGATGATCGGCAGGTCTCTGGTCAGCGAGCAGTTCAGACAGTTCAAGGCCATGGGGGGCTGGAAGGACCTGCAGGACTCGGTGAGGATGTGCACCCTCGGGGGTCGGGCGGGGGCCACATGTTTCTGACCTGTCTGCGTGGTCACTCAGGTGAACACCTTTGGAGCCAACAACGTGCTGACCAACCTGGTCCCCAGCCTGCAGGACGTTGACCCCGATGAAGCCTTCTCCTCAGTTCCCTATGAGAAGGGCTTCGCTTTACTCTACCACCTGGAGGAGCTGATGGGGGGGCCAGGTAACACCTGCACACATCTTTGCTCCTGAGAGCTCCTCACTTACCTGTCGCTCTGTTGTTCTTCAGAGGTGTTCATGGGCTTTGTGAGGTCATACATCCAGATGTTTGCTTACGGCAGCGTGACCACAGACGAGTGGAAGAACCACTTGTTCTCCTACTTCAAAGACCAGGTGAGGCTCCACACCTCTGAAGGCCTGTCCTCTGAAGGACCACAGTCCTGACGGTGGACTTAAGGGTTTGTGATTTTTGTCTGTCTCTCAGGTGGACATCCTGAACAAGGTCGACTGGAACGCCTGGATGTTTACCCCCGGGATGCCTCCAGTCAAACCTCAGTGAGTGGACCCCGTCAGACCTCCACCAGGTCCCACGGTCTTAAGACCAGGTCCCGTTGTTCTGATTCACTTTTATCTTGTTGTGTTGAGGTACGACACAACGCTGGCTGACGCCTGCATCTCTCTGAGCCAGAGGTGGGTCAAGGTAAGACCTGATCCACCGTGAGGCCCTATGGTTCTTGTTGTTTTTATGTTCAAAGTCAACACCCCCCCCCCCCCCCCGCCTTCCCCCGCCGCAGGCCAAAGACCAGGACATGAGCAGCTTTAAGGAGTCCGATGTGAAGACGCTGTCGTCCCACCAGCTCATCGAGTTCTTGTCCCTCCTGCTTCAGGAGGTAAATCACATCAGTCCCCTTTGGCCCACCCCAGGTTACCCCAGTCCCCCCCCATCTTCCCGGTTTTGTTCCAGCGGAAATCTATTATTTATCATCGCGGGGAAGGAAGATTCACGAGGTTTAATATACATAATGTCAGCCTACAACCCACAGATCCGATTCAGGTAAGGTCCTGGATCAAGGCTTTCCTTTGACACTCCGCCTCCTCCCTGGAAGCCTCCTGATTGGCCGTTGTCCCCCCAGGTGGCTCCGGCTGTGTGTGCGGTCCCGGTGGGAGGAAGCGGTTCCCATGGCGCTGAAGATGGCGACGGAGCAGGGCAGGATGAAGTACACCAGGCCGCTCTTTAGGTACTCTGTGCATAATATATCGGTCGTCGTGGCGCAGGGGTTAGAGAAGGTGTACTGGGAAGCACAAGGTTGGTGGTTCGAGTCCAGGCTGCCCCATGTTCCATGTCCAAGTGTCCCTGAGCAAGACACCTAACCCCTAATTGCTCCCCAGGCAAAAATGTGAAAAAGCCATGTGTTTAAAGTGTAATGTAAGTCGCTTTGGATAAAAGCGTCTGCTAAATGACCTGTAATGTAATAATAATATTACACCAGTTCTCTCTCTGACTGTACTTCTACTTTGTCTCCAGAGAGATCTTCAACTACGAGAAGTATCGAGACGAAGCCGTTCGAGTATTTGTCGCTCACAGAGCAGCGATGCACCCGGTCACCTCCGGACTGGTGGCCAAAGACCTGCAGGTGGACGCCAGTAAGACCACCAGCCTGTAACGAGAGTCCAGTAAGACCACCAGTCTGTATGAGACCATCAGGATATTCAGTCAAGCTCCTTCATGAGTTCAACTTCATTCTGTGAAAGTTAATAAATCAGAATAAAAACACCCATTTCTCTTTCATTAAACCACCACCGGCAATCTAGTAAAAAAGCAACTCCTGTCCCTTAATATCTTATGATGGGTAAACGCAAAGAGCTGTCTCAAGATTCAAGTCATGTTGAAATCGTATTGTTGCAAAACATACTGGTGGCATTGCTTACAGAAACATTTCAAAACAGTGAGGCCATAATGGAAAGAACATCATTTCATCATAAACCGGCCATGACCACTTGCTCCCCGCAAGATTTCTAAAAGAGGAGTGAAAAGAATTATACGAGAACACCTGTAGAGCTTCAGAAAGACCTGGAATAAGCACGTACAGTTGTTTCAAAGTCAACAATAATAATAATAATACACACAATGTTTGGAGGTCAAATGGCACTGCACATTACCCCAAAGACACCAGGGCCTCATTTATAAACGTTACGTACGCACAAAAGAAGGCGCACGCCGCTCTCTACGCAATAGTTGGTATTTATAAAAAGAAAACTTGACGGAGAAATGTGCGGTCCTTCACGCGAGCTCTGACCCACAAAAACAGGTGAAATGAGAACCGTCGGCAAACGCAAGAAACACTCAAACGTGTGTGATGGAAGATTTTGCACAGACAATCGTTAAGTAAGAATCAAAGGCTCTGAGTCAAGTATGTCTTTTCTCCGTTTATTTCCTTGCAAGGGAAAAAGGGTCACAACAGCTACGTGGTCAGTAGACTGTCAACAACCTCCTTTTTGCCCCCAACACATCGAGGCAGTTCTTATACCTAAGTTTAGATATCGGTGGCGTCAACAGAAACCTTTGACCATCTTGTTGAGTATCTACAGCCAGGGTACTGGGAACATCTTATCCATGTAAGACACGTCAGCTCTTTGACCGTGTCCTTGCTCTCCCAACATTCTAAAACAAAGGTGGTCATAGACATAACAAACACTGCCAAACATCCCAAACATTTTCCCATTACACGTGTGTAAAGTGTGTAAAACTAGACTGTTGTGTAGGTAGATACTTTATTGATCCCTCAAGAGGGACATTTTGGTATCACAGCAGCATGTACAGGGAAGACAATAGAATAAAAGGATACACATTATATACAATATAAGATAGAAATATTAAATTAAGTTAAATAAATAGGAGAAATGCCACCTCTAATCACAGCTGTTGCTTGTCAGACGGACGGTAATAAAACGCCGTGATGCCGTCACAATGCGTAATGACGCTGATGGCTGATCTTCGCTCTTAGAAGACGTGGCACATGGAAGGATTGGCGCTGTAGTGCAGCACCGTCGGCCTGTTTAAGGGCAGACGGCACTGGAGGAGGTTATTGTTTACTCCTGAGAAGGTGTGAAACATTGTGCTGCGTGTGCTGTGCTACATGATGTGGCACAGCTTCCAAACGTGCCTCGACCCCCTGACGCCGATGTTGGCCCAGACCCTGTCCCCGATCCCCAACCACTGCCCTCAGTCTCTCATCAAGAGGGGACAGCTCCGGTGTTCTGCATCCACTTTGATGTCAGACCATTTTTTCTTTATTTGGGTCCGAGGTCGTGAGGCTGCAGCGTTGCTCTGCAACCTTTTGCCCCTCAGGTGCCTTGTTGGCATCAGTGATCCACACTGTGTCCTCCAAAGAGCATCTTACGTCTCCTTCCCACCTCCCAATGATCATCTCCACTTCACACTGAGTTTCTTCGTTTTCCTCTCAGTGTTTATCGTGATTTCACAATGGATGAATATTAATTTGTGGGCGTTCCACAGACCATATATGGGCAACTATGGGCGTGACATGAAGCCGCAAAAGCTGCGCTGCATTTAGAAGTGATTGTGATTTATTAAGAGAAAACTGCGTAGGACGTTTTATACGTCTGAATATTTCTGTGCGTCCGCACGTTTCATCCGTACGACACTTCTGGCGCAAATCCTACGCAAGGTTTTATAAATGAGGCCCCTGACCTTTAGGGAGGTTTGGAGGTGGGAACATCACCGTGTGGGGCTGTTCTTTAGCAAACGGGAGACATTCTTGATAAAAATCTGCTTCCATCTACCAGGATGATCAAGATGAAACGAGGGTGGACATTTCAACAAGACAGTGATCGCACAACCAAGGAAACGCTCAATTGGTTTCAGAAAAAGAAAAGAAATAGTCAATCACCTGACTTGAATTCAATTGAAAATCACAAAGCCCACGGAACCTTCAAAATTTGAAGACTGTGTAGAAGAATTGGCTAAAATCACACCTGAGCAATGCATGCTCCTATTTTTTTCAGTGAGGTTAGTGGTGGTGGAGCAGTTTCTGGTGAAGATGCAGTCAAAGTGATTGACGGCTTTGTGAGTAGGAAGAGAGGGACTGAGTGACAGCGTAAGAAGAAAGTAAGAGAGATCAGATGACTTCTCTGTTGGGGTGTTAAAGTCGCCCAGGATGAGCGGAGGCCCATTTTCAGGGCAGTTGGACCGGAGGATGCCCCAAAAAGCCTGGCGGACGGTGGCGAAAAACAATATTTAATTGTACCGGGTGAGTAACTGTCAAAGCATGGAATTCAGAGTACCTATAGTGCAGTAAGTACTATAGTGGTATAGTAAAGTACTTACTGCAGTAAACAAGTACTAGAATACAGTACGTATACTATAATATGAAACAGCACAATCTAGAGGTAATTTCCCTTATTGTTGTTTTTAACTTAAATAATATTATTTATATTATACAATATTATTTAAAACATTATGTTTATAACGCTGTATGCTATTTAGCTGCTAAGAGGTATTGCTAAAGCTAGTACGCACAACTAATTCATGATATGCATCCAAGCAAGCCACTCCCCTTAGGGCTAAGCCCCCCCCCCTTCATTAAATCCTAGAAACGCTCCTGCTCACGTCAAATCCCGACAACTAATGCTAACAACTACAGCTAGCACTTACAGCACATTGTGGACTTAAAACTCATGTTTGCACTCTGTTGACAGTTCGGTTTTAGGAATATAGACTCTATTTAACAAAATAGAAAACACAACAGGATTACAACACAATGAAGATCTTTACATGGTTCTTGGGAAGCATAAAGATGGAACGATGAAGAAACTGTGGTCAATGTTTTTTCCCCTTATGAGAGGTATAACTGAATTGTTGAAGGGTGAAAGATCGTGAACAAAATTGGAAGGATTCAGCCAAACGACTTCTCTCGTTCTGGTAGATTTATTTATCAGATCACAGGTCAAGCATAAGCGCTTTGCAAAGTCAGGAGCAGTTCATCCAATCACATGCAATGTGTGGTCTTCTAACATAATGTGAACATAACGAACAAAGTGTGCGTGTTGTGTGGTGCTTGGTGTGTCGCTAAATCTCATCCTTATCAGACCTGGTTCTGCCTGGTTGACACTTTCTGCTTTTCATCAGTGACTCCCAAAATGAGCACTAAGAAAGAACTTTTGATTATCAAGGGCCCTCTGGGAAAAATATGATGAATTTTACTTCCTGCATGCAGCTGGCGCACTTTTCATATATTCTGCCCTGCCCTTCAGACAGCCTGAGTCCCCAGGTGGTACAACTGCCCTCATAAGCGTGATATTGATTGGACATAAGAACCAGTCCAACACAAATGTTTCAGCTATTTGTACAAAACAAAACAACCATAGAAATCGGAATGATTCTTTTATCATACAAAAAGCATTTAAGTCAGAGTACTTTTTATTTTTTATGCATAGTTACATTGAGAGACACATTAATTGAAATAGGATTAATAAACAGTTAATAATATGGCAGGTCTAGATTATTTAAGGCAGTGAGGTAAAGTTTGGAAGAATGGATCAACAGCTGACACAATAATAAGACACACAACGTTTAATACTGCATCTTTAATCATTTGAGATATAGATGTGGTGGAAATATCAATATAATCACCAGCTATCAGTTATACACTAATTTAAGTAGTTAAACGTATGAATGTAAGTAACTAAATGTATTACCTTGTGTTCTTGTGTGTAGAACCACATCTCTACTTGTTTATGTTTAAAAGAACAAAGCGTCACGGTTCTTGTCGTTATTCAAATGCACCAAGTCTAGAAAGGGCTCCTTCAGCCGATATTCTTCAGGTTCGTACGCTGTGATGTAGAGAAGACTGTTGTCTAGAATGTGAAATAGTAAAGACTGTTGGCTACAATGTGACATGGCAAAGAGTGTTGGCTATGATGTAACGTAGTTAACAGTTTGGGCTATAATGTGACGTAGATAACAATGTATGTATGTATGCAATGTGCAAAGCGGCAATGGGACGAAATGTGACGTATTTAACAAGGTTAAATATGACATAGTTAACAAGATTGTCTATCTTCAACCTTTGTGACATTGTTAAGACTATTGTCTACAATGTGACGTAGCTAACAACGTTGGCAACAATGTCACATAGTTAACAACGTGGGCTACACATTGCTAAGTGAATTCTATAAAACACTTTGGGTCAATTTCAACTTCACTTCAATCTTGGTTCAAAACTCAAAGAACATCAAAACTAAAGTTTTGATATGAAACCTTTGGGGTGGCATTAGGAACTGGACCAGTTTAAACCAGTACAGACCAGTTCAGGTCCAGCTGAGTCCCAGTCCTCAGGTCATCATGACCTCCTCCAGGTCCTGGTCTTCCTGTCGTTGCTGGAGTCTTTGTTCCTCCAGCAGAGACACCAGAGAGTCTCTCTGCTCCACCACCTCCAACATCTCCTCCAGGATCAGACGCTCTTCCAGCAGCTCCCACTCCTCCTTTAGGTGGTCTGCACACAGTGCCAATAATTATTATAATGATAATAATAATAATAACAGTGATAATTCAACATATCACTACCATCCACGGCCATCCGCTCTCTGAGCTCCTGCTGCAGACGACTCTGCCGATCTTCTAGCTCCAGCTCACGAGCACTGAAATACAGCAGAAGCAAGAGTCTAGAACCAGGATCCACATAGTCCGGATTCTCAACAGAACCAGAACCTGATAAATGAACCGCATCTAGTAGGTTCTGATGAACCTGATCCTGGTAAATGAACCACATCCAGGAGGTTCAGGCTTACCAGAACCATGATGTAAAGGTAAGATACTCACAATATTATGAGTTCCGATTCATATCGCACCAGAGAGTTTTTCTGCTGGACCAACTGGAACCACTGCTGCATCAGAGCCGGATTATCCAGTTTACCTAGTCCTAGGGAGACAGAGACCAGTCCGACAGTAAAATACTTAACGTCCATTACACTATTTTACACTACACTATAGTTTAGTTTTCTATAGTACAGTAGACCACAGAATACAATAGTACACTGTAGTACACTTCAGAATATACTACAGGATGTACTACAAAGTACTACAGTACAGGTGTACTGTCGCATGTGTACAGACTGTAAAGCCCTTAGAGGAAAATATTTAATTAGCAATTTTGGGCTATACAAAATAAAATGAATTGATGTACGGTCAGAAAACTCACCTTCCAGGTGAAGCTCTACGTCTTTGCTCGCGTTGGATTCTCCCCAATAATCTGACAGACACACATGGAGTTGTGAGAACTTTGTTACACAAACAATGTAGTTTAATGTGCAGACAGATGTGTACCTGCTTCTCCTCTAAGAGCTTTTTCCACCATCACTCCTCTCTCCTCAAGCTGTCTCTGTTCCTCCTCCACCTGCTGCAGCTGTCTCTGGACCATCTAAAGACAGACATCTGCTTGAAGAGCAACCGACTCACTAAAGAAAAGTTTGGCACCTGACTCTACAGAACTCTTAAGAAAGCAAAACTGTCCTCAAAGGAAGTCATTCAGTATTGTGTACCTGGTCTTTTCCCTGAGGCCTCCTCAGGTGGACCCACCTGAGCATTGTGGAGTCTCTTCAGCTGTTCCTGTTGGGCTTTTCTTCGAGCAGCTCTCTGAACCCGTCGGGTGATTTTGGCATCCAGGTCTTCGTCTTCGTCCTTTGGTTCCCCCTGGAACATGCTCTCCTTCAGATCTAGACATGACGGCTCCCTTTGCTGAACCAGGACCCCTAGCACCTGTGTGGGACACGAGGACTGTCTATCAGAGCCCTGGAGGGGGGCTCTGTCATCCAGAGAGCGTTTCTGAAACAACACAAACCACAATATGAATCCACAACAGAGCGTCAAGCAGTGACCTTGGGGGTGCAGGCCATAAACCACATGAGCATTCGGGTCGGTACCTTGATGACGTATGCTCGCTTAAAAGCAAGAGCGTGAGGAACGTACGTCCGCTGAGGGACAGGAAGCACAAAGACAATCAAGTCAAACCAGGTTTTAAGAACACTGAACTAACATGTCTGTGTTTTGTGTCTTCAGTGAAACGTTTAAGTCAAGTCTCGGTTTCCGGTGTGACCAGTCCACGTTAAGGTTTAAGTCAGTCAAGACCAGTCCAGGTCAGTTGATTCAAGTTTAAGTCTCACCCTCAAGCTACACGACACTTGAATGTCATGTCAATCTCAAGTCACGCAAAACATGTCCAAGTCAAGTTTCAGTCCAAATCTCCTAGACAAGGTTCAAAAATGTTGACAAAGATCCCAAGTCAGTCATGACCAGCATACAGTCCCTTGGGACAAATCAGAAGTCAGTGGAGATGAGTCTTACATCAGATGAGACAACAGATAGTCAGTTTAGTTTGGACCAATCAAATATCAAGTGAAATCAAAAACAGCACCAACCACCAAAAACACTAAGGACATCACAGAGTAAAGTTTACTGATTAAGACAGCTGATACCTCCTGCTTCTTCTCCTCCTCTTTAATTGTGACCCTCTGGACTTCAGACGTGAGATCAGACATATCCAAAAGAAGCTACAAACATCAGAATGAGATGGTTAACCGGAGAAGCGCAGAGGACCCATTAAATACAGTCATTAGTCTGCCCCTAAAGATTCAACTGCATCTTTATGGCGTCTGTAATCCTATAAAATACTGCTTTTGAATGAAGTTAAATGTGTCCGTTAGTAAGCAAGGATCGTTAATTAGTATTAGCATTAGTTTTCCATTAGGTCCCGCGGGCTAACCGTGTGACAGGATTTATTTTTCAATAGCAGGCGATCTACCGGCACTGCCTTTGTGATCGACCGGTCGATCGAGATTGACTGCAATTGTGAAGAAATGTGGTCTTTAGGTGAACAGTTGCTGTATAGTCCTGGCTCAGGTTTATAGTTAGGACAAGGTAAGGTGTATTGTTGAGTCCGGCATAGGTTTATAGTTAAGGCTGGCTCAGGTTTATTGCAAGGGCTGGTTCAGGGATATAATTAGGGCCGCTCTGATGATACAAAGTTAATATTTTATGTAAATATGAACTATTGATGATGCCATTGATGTAGGTGTGTTTGATGTTTTTTACTGGTTTCAGTGAACATCTCTGCAGCTTAAAAGATGTGTCCTTAGCCGACTCTTCTGTCAGATCTCGTCTAACATCTGAAGAGAACAATACAATACGTAAAGGTAATGTATGATTTCATCACTGTGACCTAACTGTGTTTTTTGATGAAGTCATTACCTGTAGCTCTCCTTCGATTGGCTGTGCCCCTCTGTGAAGGTAAAGTGTTGTCTCTCTTCTTCTCCATCCGGTTTCCTGAAAAGACAGACCTCCACAAGGCTCTTGCCCCTCCCCCTTCCACCTCAACCTCTCTGGGGGTTGGAGTCTCTTTGGGACCCTTCAGCTGGGGGATAAGTGCCTTGCCTCCACTCTGAGGGGGCAGGAAGACTCGAGGGTAGAGGTTGTGGTTTCCTCTAGGTCCACTTTTCTTCCTCACACCGTCGGACTCTGCCTCCTCTTTCTCTGACTTCACCCGTTCACCATCTGGCCCTGGCGTGCTGCCGTGAAAGAGGAGGGGCTTCTTCAGCTCAGGGCTGATGACATCAAACAAGCCCTTACCTCCAGTAGGTTGCCCCTGAACAACTGTGTCCATGTCAACGACAGCTGTGTGCAGTGAGGGCGGAGAGACTTCTCCGCCCTCACTGGGGGCGGAGGCAGACATGGTGGAGGAGTCGGTGAACGGTGTGTCAGACGAAGGTGTTAAGGAGGTGATGCAAGACGGCGAGCTGCGGACAGGTGTGTCACCATGTGTAATGTGACTTCTTGCTGTCGATGAGATGCTCTGCGAGAGAAGAGGAGTAAACTCCTCTGGGAGGGAGAAAGGAAGGCACGAACATCAGGAGTACACAGGATAGAGTATAAATTCCGCTGTTATAAGTTCATTTGATTGCTAGTTTGCTTTAGCTTTCACATTTTGTTAGTGACTGGACTGTAGATTCTGCTACATTAGATTGAATGAATGACTGCTAGCGTTATATTTGCTAGGTTTGACCTGATCTAACTCTGATTCCCTTCTCTTCTGAAGCAAAGCAGAATGTTCGAAACTTTCAGTTGTAAAAACAGCAGACAGCAAATGTTCACTGATAAGGGTGACCAAGTGGTTGTTTTTTTGCCTTTTGAGGAGTTTCTACTGAGGGCAATCTACCTTTTGTTCCCTAACGACGAGGGGTGGTGGTCGGCGGGTTGGGGTTAGGGTATCTCTGCTGCCAAAAGCTCTTTCTACCAATCTAGAATTCAGTCCTTATTTTCTAAACCCCCAAAACTCTTTTCTATTTTCTCCAACCTCCTCGAAACCCCAGTCCATCACATATTCTACAATCTATCGCTCCTGAAGCAACAATACAACATTAAAACACACAGGCAGCGATGAAGACCACAGACCACTGTCACTAGATTGTTCTTCCTTGTCCTCCTCGCCATCCTTCTCGTGTTTCAGGTGGAGGTGTTGCTGCAGAGTTTCCCTCCACAAAGTTTTTGCCTCTTCGGAAGTCAGACAACGACAATTAGCTTGGCCTTCCTCCTCCTCTTCCTCCATCTCAGACTCTGAACTGAAGCAGACAAACACGAGTGGAGAGGTTGAACAAGAAGGAGAAGAGAAGTATGGAGGCTGGTTTATAGTTAAGGCGGGCGCAGGTTAGCCTGGACCTGCCCTTAGATAAGCTGCAATAAACTAAACTGCTGGAGGTCTTCCTAGGACACACTAAGCTCCTCTCTCTCGTTCTATAAGAGTTCACATCTCATTAATGCAAATGACTAATTCAGCTTCTTCCCAAAGTCAGTTGTTTTCGCTCCTCACAGGTTTCCATAGATTGTGGTTCTATCTGGACCCTGTCCCTGCCTCCTGCCATGGCCCCGCTGACACCTGCTGTTGCTATTATCATTAATATTATTATTCTATAAGAAGGATCAGAGCAGACTATCTGCTGAGGAGACTGAGGACCGTCTTGGACTCGTCGTGGCATCTGCCATTTTTGGTGGTCTGATGGGGCAGCAGCATATCCATAGGACAACTTATGGATATGCTGCACAATATTTGTATCATTTCAGTTGTAGGAATTGAATGTACTGTACATCTTTTACGTTGTTCATTCTGTACACATGACATCCATAGGCTGTCCACCCCGGGAGAGGGATCCCCCCTCCAACATTCTCACTTCTAGTTTCCTGCCTTTTTTCTCCCCTTTAAATGTTTTTTCCTTTTCCCACATCAGGGTTTCAGAACAGAGAATGTTGCATGTGTGATTTTGGGCTATACAAAATTAAATTAATTGAATTGAATACATAATACCTTGGGGACGTTCATTTGTGTAGATAAGTAAATTCAGAGATCAGAAATTAATAGAAAGTGAAAAACAAACTGCTTCTGGAATTTGATTGAGATATAGAGACATAACAGACTTCAACCTAGATATGTGCTGGTCTTTCTCATCCATGCTGAGGTTGAACCGGTTGAGAGTCTCCTCAGAGACTTCCTCGGGTTCCTGCAGCTCATCCAGCTGCTCTGTCTCCACCTTTGTCGATCTCCGCCGATATTTTTCCAGCTCAATCCTCTCCGGCGTCTCCACCATCACAGAAACCACTGCCAATACACCAGCACAGCCGCACACACACAAGAACACACACACACACACACACACTAAATAACACACTGATTCCAGTTTAAGGAGCACACCCAATGACAGGTATGAAGACTGAAAGCATGATGCAGGTGAACCGAGCTCACCTGAGGGACGACGGTCGCCAGCAGAGGTCAGAGATTCTGCAGAGGATAGTGAAGGAGCTGAGCCCAGTGACGCCTGTGGATAGAGCAAACACGCCATTCGTTCTGCCACTGATCTAGTGTTAACCCAGAGATGCCTGTGTTTAAAACAAACACGCCATTATTTCTGCCACTGATCTAGTGTTAACCCAGAGATGCCTGTGTTTAAAACAAACACGCCATTCTTTCTGCCACTGATCCAGTGTTAACCCAGAGATGCCTGTGTTTAAAACAAACACGCCCATTCTTTCTGCCACAGATTCAAAGTTAACCCGGATACGCCTGTGGATAAATGAAACACACTGACTCTCACTGCTAACTGATAGATAAGCTATTCATCTCTTCACACTGTCTCATACTTGCTTCATTAGATCAATTAGGAGTTCTCTTACGATGGAAGCTCGCTGGGAAGTGGCTCGGTTGGGCGTGGTGGCGCTCAGCCGAGAGTTGAAGTGCTGGAGACAATAGAACCTCCCTGAAATCAGAAGAAGAGACGCAATGGGTGAAAACTGAGCTTCTTCCTGTTTTATACAACACACAAACAGCTCCCGCCTCACGCTTCAAGCGTCATGTCATGTGACAGCTTCATTCTGATTGGCTGCTGAGAAACTCAACAACTTTAACAAGAGAAGCCATTGTGGATATAGTGTGTGTAGAATGCACTATATACACAGACAAGACAGACAGATACCATAAAATATAATTTACTGATTGATAGAACATTGAAAGAGTTTTGTTGATTCTGTGTGGAGCAGTTAACTAGATAAGATCACATTAACCGGGTCTAGATCCGGTTAACAGGATCAAGATCAAATGTGGGTACCATGATCTGGGTAACATATAACCTTGATCTAGGTTGCATGATATAGTTAACATGATCTAGTTAACGTGATCGGGTTATGTGATCAGGTTCACGTGATCGGACATGAGCCTCAGGCTGCTCATGTGAAACACATGACTACTATGACAGATGTGACATGTGACAGAAAATGCTTTAAACTGAAGAACAAAGAATGTGGACGTACAGCAGGGATCATTATTAAGCCCCTTCAATGAGAACTGTGAGGACATAAAGAGGCTGTAGGTATTGATCGGTGGGGACAGTGGGGACACATTAGGAGGCTGTAGGTATTGATCGGTGAGGACAGTGAAGACACATTAAGAGGCTGTAGGTATTGATCGTTGAGGACAGTGAAGACACATTAAGAGGCTGTAGGTATTGATCGGTGAGGACAGTGATGACACATTAAGAGGCTGTAGGTATTGATCGGTGAGGACAGTGATGACACATTAAGAGGCTGTAGGTATTGATCGGTGAGGACTCACGGAGCAGGGGATCGAAGGCGTATGTGCTGAGTCTCAGGCCTTCGCTGCAGGAGGAACATTGGAAGCAGCTGCGATGGAAGAACAGACTTTCTGCACTGAGACGTTCCATCAGATATACCCTCTTCTGACAGAAGAAACACACACAGCGGCAGCCTGAGGACTGGAGACAGAGAGGAAGGTGGGGTCAGACAGACAGGTAGGGACAGACAAACAGGCAGACAGGTTGGGGTTGGCTCCCAACTGAAGGGTGAGATGGAGCTGGTGTCAGCAGACAGGGGAAGTCCGGCTGCAGAGAATCAATAGGAACTATTCATGCTCTTCACAGTGCAGAGTTTGTTATTGATCGGCAGATTGATCACATGCACCGCTTCTCCCTGAGGACCTTCAGCCGCACAACTGCTGACTCCTCACTTCAACGTGAGTAAGCTTCTTAAAGTCACAGCTCACATTAACGCATCACATGTACAACATTCAGATCACCCAGAATGCAGTGCAGCAATGTACCTGCTCTTCAGACTGAGACTTGATCCTTTCTTTGAATCGAAAGCTCATCTGTTCCTGTTGGAGGGTCCGTTTCCTCTGAAGAGACAGAAGTTCACATATTCTGGAGTAGTACTATGCATTAAAACTTTAGTACTACTACCAACTGATAACTCTACAGTCAAAAACAAATTACATCTGTCTTTTGTTTACTTCTGGTGTCTATCGGTGTGTAGTAGTCTCTTTTCATTTCTACCGGTCTCCTTTGGCCTCTACTGGTGTCTAGTAGTCTCTACTGTCATTTCCCATTCTCTACTGGTATTTACTGCGGTCTACCAGTCTTTACTATTGTTTTGTGGTCTCTACTGGTCTCCCCTGGTCTCTACTGACCTCCTTTGGTCTTTTCTCACTACCAATCTTTACCGGTCTCCATGATAACGTCTGACCTGGCGATTCAGCTGGCGGACAGTCTTCAGACCGAGGGGGGGGCAAAAGCTCTCCCTGCTGGTCCAAGAGTCACACATAGTCTTATTGTTGATTAATGAGGTTGTTTATATCAATATTCATTTATATCAATATATCAACATCTATATATTATAATGAAAAAATATTTTCAAACTTTCCAAACTTTATTTATCAGAAATTTGATGCCTCTCTAAAAGATCACCTGTCGACGCAGGGCTGCTGCATCAGAAGAAGAAGAGCTCCTCTCATCCAGCTTCGCCTGCAACTGATTGGCCATCAGACGCACTCTGCAGCAATTGGACCCGCCTACCACGGCCCGGTCGCACACCTCGTTGACATCATTGCCGGTCAGGTCACATGACTGGAAACAGGGAACATGCAACTTTTTTATTATTAATAGAATAGAAACACTGAAGAGTGGTTGATAAACTAAAGCGACCTCCTGACCTCTCGACTCTCCCTACTGGTCCTCCTTCGTTTGCTAACAGCGTCGCTCTGCTCCTATAGAGACAAAGGCTCAAAAGGTCAAAGGTCAGAGACTAGCTGACACCGAGCGGTGGACTTGGTGTCTCTGCATGACTCTGGAAGGACCTTAGGGTTCCTCTTCCTGGACGGACTGAGTCCCAGTCTGCTGAGCAGGGAGGCCGGAGTGAGGAGAGCTGATTTCAGGTCAGCTATGTGAGCCAGATCACCTGAAACAGGAAATGACCATTATTACAATATTAGTTATTCTTACAACAGTTATTGTCAATTTAAAAATTATTACAGTTATTACCATTATGACAATCATTACAATCTGTAGTCTCTCAACAGCTGGTAAAACTGACTCAAGTACCTTTGTTATGATAATATTGATTACTGATCCGACCAGCAGGGGGCAGCTTGTCTCTCAGCAGCTGGTAAAACTGACTCAGGTACATCACCATGGACAGAGAGTCCGGTTCTTCTACAGAATTCATCTCGTCGACCCACATCAAAGGAGGAATTCCAAAGTGACGTTCAGCCACGTCGAAGCTCAGGCGAGTGTTGTCCTCCACTGAGGACGGGTCCAGAGAGTTAAAGTCTCTGAGGACAGACAGAGAGGAGGACAGCAAGACAAGTAGGCAGATAGACAGTAAGCATATTGATTATTCTTTCATGTGATCAGGTTGGCACCATTATGACATAATAATAATATTGATCATATTGATTATTGAGTGTGGCCGGCAGAGGGATCCTCCTTAGCCGTTCTCAGTAAAGGTTTCCCCCCCCCCATCAAAGGGTTTTTTATTTTTGGGGGGAGTTATTCCTGTGCCAATGTGACCGTTTCAGAACAGAGGATGTCACATGTGTACAGACATCATGGCAAAAACTACCATCTCCCTCCCGCTGAGAGGGCTACAAGCCCCACAAAGTATCACAGACAAGTTAAATGCGTACGTGTTTAAATGTATAGGCTCATTTGAAGTGCCTCATCACTCTAATCAATCAGATTATATTTATTTAAATGTTCTTACTTTTATGAACCAATAGATACTCGTGAGGATATATGTACTATATGCACTAATGTATCATATATATTTATATACACGTATGTGTAGATGACCATATAGAACTAAGAGTTTCATTGTGAGGGTGTGAATCTGTATATGGGCAGATCAGTATGTATCTATTATTCATTATCACAAATTCAATCATTTAAGGCATTGAAACATGGAACATCCAGCATTTCTTGACAAAATACACAAAGAGAACTTTACGAACAGCCCCACATGAAGCGGCTTTCTCTGCATCACTAACAATGTATAAAAATGTACAGTATAAGAGTGTGTGAGACAGTATGAGGGACAGTCTGTGGGACAGTGAATGCTCAGCTGTGGCGTGTGGTGTTCACCATGTACAGCTCGAGAGGGTCTTCTCGATGTGTTGCTGTGGTGATTTTGCCAAACTTGCTTTGTGGAACCAAAAAGCCTGATCAACGTCATCTTATCCTGAAAAGGATCCGGCTAACCTCATTTGAAGGGTTAGGGTTAGGAGCCCTGGTCGGTACCATTATGAGAATAATAATATTGATTACTGTTACATGAGATCAGGTCGGTATCTGTGGATGAGTGCACAGAGAGCAAGGCCATTCTTCCAGGAAGTAGTTAGGTCGCTAACGGCAACGCCGCGGTAACCACGAGTGTGCTCCTGACACCAAATCAGCAGCTTATTGGACTCAGAGAAAGAACCTATCAGAGATGAGGAGACAGGCGACCATCACATCACCGATAAGTCAAACAATAATTATCAATCTTACTGGTGATAAAGTAGGAACTCACTCTGTTCGAAGAATCTGGGAGATGGCAGGTGGTTGATTTCACCCCTGTCTGTGTTAAGCCCCGTCTCCTCACCTGTGTCCACCAGATGTCTCACCTGAAAGACCAAAACTGCTCAGTGCTTAAACATATCTAATTTCCACAAATTGTGTACCTGTGAGGGGGTTATGTGCTTGCCTGAGCAGGAGTGATGAGCATCAGGTTGATGTTCAGGTATCTTGTTGTCGGGTCAACTGTAAAAAGACTAATGTTCTTTTGAAGGTTTTCCTGAGTTGTCTGAGGGAGGACACGGTATAGACTCTCTCTAAGGGGCCGACAGGAAGGAACAGTTCAGGAAAATAGTTAGGGCTGGATCTGGTTTGTAGTTAGGGCTGGCTCAGGTTTATTGTTAGGGCTGGATCTGGTTTGTAGTTAGGGCTGGATCTGGTTTGTAGTTAGGGCTGGCTCAGGTTTATTGTTAGGGCTGGATCTGGTTTGTAGTTAGGGCTGGACCTAATGACATCCACTCTCCACCATTGTTATTATTATATTGGTATATACATAGTAATGAGTTAGATATGTTTATAGTATACATATCATAATAGTATAGACATACTCTTAGTATATATGATTTTAGTATGCATGTACCGGTCTGCCAAGATGTCCAGCGGAGCTTCTCCTTGAGACCATCTCTGGATCATCCAGGCTGAATCGAGAGCTGCCAGAAACCCTCGAGCTATTCCTGTTCCCATCGGCCAGAACGGCTACAGACAAATCAATGTGGTCATTGAGGTATTATGTATTTAATATTGGTAACTAAATAGGGGTGTAACGATTCATCCACTGAATCGATTAATCGATTAATATTCCTGCGATCCAACTGAATCGATCTGTGCTCCGCAAATCGGCATTCCGGACGACATATATCGATTACAAATCGATTGAAATAGTACATCAGCGATTTGTATCGATACTTGGAAACTGCACATTGGATTTAAGTACAAAAACGGTATAGATGTGTGTTTGTTTGTTTGTTTTTTAGCACTTTAGACTCGATTCAGTCTGCCTGTCTGTGACGTCATCAGTACGCAGCGGCCGCCGCGCGAAACTCTGAACAACAAAACACAGCGTGGAGGAGACGACTTCGAGCGAGACATTTACAAACCAACTTATCGATCCAGTGGAAACATTTTGGCTTTTGCAAACACGGAGGTGTTCTAAATAAGTCGCTCGCTGTTTGTAGAATATGTAGAAGCTAAATAAAAAAACACAGAAACACGAGGAATCTTTCCGGCCGTCTACTAAGGCGCCGTGGGATTAAACAACGGCGACAGTCAGGACCTCTAGCAGCGTCACCGCTGCAGCAGCAGCAGGTAACTCAGCTCTGCAGACGCCTTAGGCCTCGCCAGCACCAAACTCAACATCACAGTAACAAGTTTATCTGTAAAGACATGCGACCCGACAATGTGGTTGAAAATCCAGGGTTCTGTGAATTGATCCAAACATTGTGTAACTATTGTGCAATGTTTACATTGAAAATGGCACTTGATTCAAATAAAAGGTTAATACATTTGCCATTAATTGTTTGTTTGCTTGTTTATAATATCCATAATTAATTTAAACCTGATTTCCTTACAAGAAACGGATCGTTGTTAAAATGAATTGTTACACCCCTATAACTAAATGATGATGATCATGTTTATTGAGCAAGCACCTGTCTCACCTCCAGTAAACTGTCTCCCACCAGTGTGACCAGCAGCTGGTGTCCTTGGCGCTGGCGAACCATGGCGGCATTCTCCGAAGCATACATGCAGGTGAAGTCGAACATGGCGACATCCGGCTGACCACAGTGATTCATGGCAAAGTCCAGAGACGGCAGCTGGTGATTGGTGGAAAAGTTGGCAGCCTCGCGGGCATACGCCTGCAATGCATTCTGGTCCACATTTGCCCGAGACAGAAGCAGCTCGGTCTCTGCGAAGTCCTGATAATTAGATAAATAGATTAGATAGATAGAGGAAGATAATTATATTGGTCTCTCCTTGAGTGTAGTGTAGTGAGACTTTTGTTGTCTATCCAGGTGTGTGATTTACCTGGTTAATGAATCTTTGCTCTTATGTATTCAGGTGTGATTTACCTGGTTAATGACCAGTTTCCCCCACGTTTACAGGTGTGTGATTTACCTGTTTAATGACTCTTTTCTCCAACAGACTATGTTTCTTTGCCGTCATCACAAAGTAGTGAGTGTCATCTTTGTAGTAAACAATATTTTCCAGGTCGATTCCTGAAATATGATATTAAAAAAGGAGCAAATGTCCCAAATGTGATAATGAACATTAGCTTTTCATAATGACATTATTAAAAAAGAGGAACCAGATGTGATTCGTGTTTCGTACCAGTTTCCTGTCGAAGCTCTTGGAAAAACCTCTGGTTGAAGATGAAAGCCACTCCGCTGATCTCCTCCACTTTGGCCTCGGCTGAGGTGTGTCTGTTCTTAAAGTTAGCTGTGATGGCAATGGCCAACTTCCCCCGAAACTCTTTACGCCTGAAACCTGTATGACAACATGAAAATAATTTGGTAAGAACCAGCATGACATATATCAGAGGATTTGTGAATTTCATTTAATTATATAGAAGTTATCAAACTCTTCAGGTTGTAAGTTGAGGTTAAAGCATTTTACCGTGAGAACGTCTTCTCACCTTTACATGAAGCTGGTGAGCAGGCTTAGAACCTTACACTAACTTGAAAGCAGCGCGGACTGGGGGAAAAAAGCGGCCCAGGACTTATTGTCAGACCGGCCCACTTATTGCATCGCACGTATCGACCAGTCAGGGGCCTACTTGGGAAAATATCCATATAAACATTTTGGATGATTACAAAGAAACTACATCAATTTGATTTTTTTTATAACGTAAAATGTTTATACCATTTTCCCGGTATCCCCTATGGCCAGTCCGCCCCTGCTTGTAAGAACAGTGGTTAGAATCGACTTCACTGAGCTGAACACGTTTACATGTTGAAGACGAACGGGATATTTAAAAGTTGTAAACAATCCTTGACGGAAGAATCAGACACAAGTTTTTACTGAGCTTTATTTTCTCAGACTTAATGTAACGTCAGAAACAGACTTAAACCTAGGACTGGGGTTTTGTTAAACTGTACTTGAATTTTAGGAGTGACGTTGAGATTGAAATGTGGCAGGTGATTGTCATGTACCAATGGCATGAGCGGGAGGTACTGATCTCAGGAGTGGCATGTCCCCGCCTCCTTATTAATATGCAAATCCCATGCAGATTAACACATTTTAGACCTGTGATGCCATGAATGTTTTTTTCCAACTTTATTCACAAGGTAGCACAGTACAGCGTCTTGTCACTCTAGCTTTGAGACACAGCTTCTGATGACTGGGTTGCACATGATCGGCATGGCAGTCTGATTCAACATTTAACCATTTTCCACCAACAGCAGTATGATTGGAATTCATAGCAGTGTATTTTCCCTCTGGATCTAATGAAAAAGAAATGTTTTCCTAAATAAAGTGTGAACTGCCTTGGGGATACACAGCTGTGCATGCCACTCCTGAAATCGGTGCATACCGCATACCACCTGACACTTTTTGTTCTACCAACTTTTAGAGAGAACTCAGTCACCTCCCATCAGTTTACCTGGAAGTGCGTTCCTGCGTCCGTCTGCTCCGATGACAACATCAAATTCCAGCTGATTGACAGCATGAGATTTCGGACTCACCTCCATCCTCCAGCCCAGCTCTGCACAGGTTAACAGGTGAGCAGGGAGACAGGTAAGCAGGTCAAGCGGTAAAGAGGTAAGCGGGCAAATAGGTAAGCAGGTAAACAAGAAGACAGGTAAACAGGGAGACAGGTATGCATGCAAACGGGAAAGGAGGGAGAAAGGTAAGCAGGCTTCAAAGGTAAGTACACTCTAAGGTTCAACATTCTCATTTAAAAAACTCTCACTGCATCCCTGCTGGTCTTCTGCCGGCTCTAACAGGTTCTTAAACTCCACGTTGACGTGGACCTCGACCCCCAGCAGTAAGGCCACCTTCAGCAGGACGAGTTGCAGCTGACGGATACCTGCAGACAAAATACAGGTGGTGCTGATTGGAGGGTCCAACTGTCGCCATCAGTCAAAATCACCAGATTATGGACTCACTGATGTGATCAATGGAGCCAGCGCAGAACTTTCCGTAGAACTTTTTGGCCCCGAGGCCCCGCAGGTCATGGATGGTGAAGGGCCACAGGTGGAGCACGTTGTTTCTAGAGAAGGAGTCTCTCTTCTCCACCACCACCACCCGAGCTCCCATGAAGCTCAGCTCAACCGCCGTCCTCAGGCCGCAGGGCCCCGCCCCAATGATCACACACTGACCAATCAGAGAGACAGATGCCACAAATAACGTTTCTCCGTAGTCAATGTTAGTTAAACCAGTGGTCCCCAACCTTTTTCGGCTCATGGGCTAGTTTCATGTTGGACTATATTTAGCGGTCCGGTCTTGAAGGTGTGGCGGATAAATACGAGGAAAAAAATGGATGACGCTTAGAAAATGTATGGGACAAGTGCATGTAATTAGGAGAGAATCCAGAAACCGGTGGTTGGGGACCACTGAGTTAGATGACAGAGAGTCTGGCTGCTCACATAGAGGCACATTGTGTTCTTTGTCAGATGTTTGTACGTCAATGACCAGTTAATCTTAGGGTGCCTAAGATGATGACTATATCCAAGGTCGATAACCAGCACTTGGATTTTGCCACAGCCCTCAACCCGTTTGTCTATGTTTATCTTCCAATTATAGATTTCTGCTCCGAAGAAGACAACCTCTGAGTAGCCTTGATGCATTCTCTGTGTATGTGTCAATTCTGTATTCTTGCCCCCGAAAATGGCACAACCATGACAAAAAGTGTAATAACTGGATATTTTTTTCTGTGAGGGACAAAGGGGCGTGACCCGGTGGATTGATACCCAAGACAAGACAAGGTGCTCACTCTCCGCACTGCCATGATTTAAAGTAGTCTGAGGTTGTGGAGACTGTCGATTGTGCATGCGTCTATTTAGTTGCATGCCCCTATAAGGCGCTGGCGGGGTGTTTCTGTATGCAAATCCAGGTCCACTTTATTAGGTCCACCTTGCTAGAAAAACGTTGAACCTCTTTCTGCTTCAGAACTGCCTTAATTCTTGTTGGAATAATTTCAACAAGGTTGAAAAAAAATGTTGGTCCATTTTCGAGTTTGACATGGTAGTATCACGCAGTTGCTGCAGATTTGTCGGCTGCACATTTATGATGCGAATCTCCTGTTCCACCACATCTCAAAAGTGCTCTATTGCATGGAGATGTGGTTACTGTGGAGGCCATTGGAGTATACGGAACTCATTGAAACCAGTTTGGATGATGTCGATGATTTAATGTTGTTTACGCCAAATTCTGACCCTACCATCTGAATATCACAGCTGATATCCAGACTCATTAGACCAGGCAACGTTTTCCAATCTTCTATTGTCCCATTGCGATGAGCATGTGCAAATTGTAGTCCTAGTTTCCTGTTGTTAGCCGACAGGAGAGACCCCCCCTTGGTGTGGTCTTCTGCAGCTGTAGCCAGTCTCTTCAAGGTTCCAGGTGTTGTACGTTGATATGGTATTCTGCCTTCTTTGGTTGTAACAAGTGTTTTTGAGTTACTGTTACTGCTCGATTATCTAAAAACCAGTCTGCCCGTTCTCCTCAGAGCCCTCACATCAACAAGGCATTTTTGTCACAAACTGCAGCTCACTGGATATTTTATCATTTTTCCCAGAAGATCAGCATTTTGTGACAGACTTAGACCAGCCCGTCCAGCACCAACAACCATCTACATTAAAGTCACTTAAATCCCCTTTCTTCCCCATTCTGATGCTCAGTTTGAACTTCTACAAGTTGTCTTAACTACTACTAAAATGCATTGAGGCAGGACGATTACCAAACCACTGTCTTTTAGGGACACCGTGATGGTCCTCTGCAGGTAGATGTTGAGATGGAAGTAGCCTAGCTGCTACCGAATTTTCCGGGCACTATCACTTCTAAAGTGGTCCGTTTGCCACTCGTCCCACTTCTGTTTGACAAAGGGAGGAATTCCTCTTCAGCTACCATCTCGCCCTCTCTGTCTAACTGGCTGCAGCACGCGGCGGCTTCAGGGGCCAATGCACACCGGAAGGAAACAGAGCTGCGTTGACTACGTTGCATTAATCTCAGCCAAAATAATCTCATAGATTAACAGGTTAACGTTAACAGCCCTATTATATATGTATAAAGATATATATAAAGAAACATACAGTGGTGTTGCTGCAGACTCTGTCCCCCTTTCGGTACTCCTGCTGATTTGCTCTTCGGTCTAGTTTGGCCCACAGAGCGTTGGCCCTCCAGTAGTTGAGGCGGCGTTTGATTGGCCGGTACAGTGGCCGCTCCGCGGCGCCACGGTCGAGCGCCAGATGGTCACACAGCTGGTTGAAGGAGCCCAGCGCCACCCTGCAGGTTGATGCCGTCACGAACGCATCAAACAGCTTCTGAGCTCCACACTGGGGGTACGACTCGTCTCCCATGGTGACCGCAGCAGCACCATCGGGAGGATGTCACCAGCTGATGTGATGTCCAGCTCGCCTTCTGATACCTGAGAGCGGTCTCACTCTGTAGCAGAACGGAAAGTAACAATAAAACAAAAACAAAAAAGAAAAGTAGTATGAGTCACTTTCGGGCAGATCAGTTTAGCCAACAAATAAAGACTCCCTCAATAGTCAAGTCTTTAAAATATATAACTGACACATTGTATATTTATACCTCAATATTTGAAATTAAAATACTTTTACACGGTTAAGACCTGAAACCATCAACCACAATATATACACTGAGTGGTAATGACGCCACTGTCTCCAAGTCACATGACCTGTCTAAGTGAATGTGTGTGTGTCCACATCCAGACTAGAATCCCAACAAAGAGGTTTATAGAGAACAGATCCATCAGTACCAAGCACCAGCGCGCGACACACACACACACACACACACAACACATTAAGACTAGAACATATGATGTAATAACATATCACATAATACTTATGTTTTTGTTTTAATACATTTACCAAATAGATAAATAATGTTTATTCAAACATTCATCTAAAACGGATTTTAACAGTGGAGCTCAAACCTTGCTGTAGACGGGACACCTGTCTGCTAAGAACACACCTATAAGCACTCGGATACTCAGGATTATTGGTAATTAGTTCACATAAAGGAACAACGTCTAAGAATACATCAGGATTCTTTGAATGTGCTGAATGCATCAGTGTTTACTTACGTCTCAGAGAGCTGCTGTCCATCTGCAACTGCTGCCAGCCATCGTCAAAATCTACTTATCCAACACACACACACACACACACACAGCTTCTAAAGTAAGGGGCGGGTCAGTGGACAGCAGACTCCGCCCCCAGAGGATAGACAGTGATCTTTAATCGGAGTGTCCGAGCTAACGAGATTAAGGTGAGATCATCGTCATCGTCATCGTCTACAGACCCACCAGCAACACCACCAGGCCAAAGGTGGAGTTATTAACTACGTGAAAGAGAATATATTTACTTCCGGCTGAAAACCTTACTTTAATACTTCCAAAAGATATATGAAATCATAATGCTTCACCCAACGATGGAACAATCCAAAAGTTCATTTTATTTAAATAAAAATGATAGACAATAGGAAACATTTACATATTTGAAAATTGAATTAACTTACATCAAGAAATAAAGACACAGAACAGCGGTTTCCGTAACAAATTTAATATCTTTATATTACAGATGTAACAATGATAAAACATTAATTTGGTTTGTAGGTAGATGTCATCAAGAGCTTTGCTGAAAACAAACAAATGAATGAAAGTTAAAATAAAGTAAGATCAAATTTGTGAAAAGTGAAAACAGAAATGTGTTGCTCACCTGCAGAGCTCGTCCTCTTGTTTCTATCGGCAAGAGAAAGTTTCCCAGAGCGCAGAACACACAGCTCACGGCAAACGGAGTGAGCGCCGAAATCACCGACTGAGACATCAACACCTGAAGGACACACAGTCACACATTTTGAATTGTCAAAGGTTCTTAGGAAGGTACCTAACGGAGTGAAATGAAGTGAAGTAATGAAGTGGCACCATGATAAGAACGGCTTTAATTCTAATGCTAAGGAAGGAGCTTCAATGCTTCCTTCCTTGGCTCCTCCAGCATAGGAACAACTGGCCATCCTTTACCAAAGGAAAGGAGATAATTCCATCGCACAATTCGTTCGCCATTTGTGGTGGCAATATTTAAATAGTGACGTATCATTGGGCCGTATGAGAAAGAACGACCATGACGTAGAAACTCATAGCATAACTCCTTTATGTCGCAGCTTTGTTAATAAAGTTTTACTTTGAACCTGGTTGTTTGTGTCGTCTGGATGACTCACACTGTAACAACACATGAAGCATCTTCTTTGTAGCCGCTGCAGACTGACGTCACCGACATGCGTCTCCATTCATCACAACTACGTAGCTTAGCACGCAGCTGTTGGTCTCATGAACCGAGTGGGAGTCCCCCATTGACTCAAAGACTTCATCCCCTAAACATTTGCACAGTGGTTTCTCTCACCATGGAAACATACAGACATACATACATATGTGTTTTAACGTACTTGGAATCAACAAGGTTGAAAAAAAATGTTTCACGCAGTTGCTGCAGATTTGTCGGCTGCACATTTATGATGCGAATCTCCTGTTCCACCACATCTCAAAAGTGCTCTATTGCATGGAGATGTGGTTACTGTGGAGGCCATTGGAGTACAGTGAACTCATTGAAACCAGTTTGGATGATGTCGATGATTTAATGTTGTTTACGCCAAATTCTGACCCTACCATCTGAATATCACAGCTCATTAGACCAGGCAACGTTTTCCAATCTTCTATTGTCCCATTGCGATGAGCATGTGCAAATTGTAGTCCTAGTTTCCTGTTGTTAGCCGACAGGAGAGACCCCCCCTTGGTGTGGTCTTCTGCAGCTGTAGCCAGTCTCTTCAAGGTTCCAGGTGTTGTACGTTGAGATGGTATTCTGCCTTCTTTGGTTGTAACAAGTGTTTTTGAGTTACTGTTACTGCTCGATTATCTGGAACCAGTCTGCCCGTTCTCCTCAGAGCCCTCACATCAACAAGGCATTTTTGTCACAAACTGCAGCTCACTGGATATATACCTAACTGTTTGTATTGTTAATTCTTGCTTTTATATTTTTTATCTTATTTTATTATTATATTGCACCAATGCACTAAGTCAAATTCCTCTATGTGTCTAATATGTTGCAATAAATAGCTTCTGATTCTGATTCTAGTGGAAGTGGAGTCGATTCCCTAAAAAAAGACACCGCGTTGTCTTTTCCGATCTCCTCATGAATTCTCCTAACCACCTTTCCTTCACCCTGTGACGTTTCATTACATTACACGTCATTTATCTGACGCTTTTATCCAAAGCGACTTACAATAACTGCATTCAACCATAAGGACACAAACTCAGAAGAACAAGAAACAAGAAAGTGCAATTTCATCAATTTACAACTTGCTGTAGATAAGAACCATTATAAGTCCAATGTAAGTGCTACAGTTAGTTAGTGGAGGTAGAGTGTGAAGAGGTGTGTCTTTAGTCTGAAGATGTGAAGGCTCTCTGTGGTCCTGATGTCTTCACAGACCTCCTTCCACCATTTAGGAGCAGGACAGCAAAGAGTGGAGATCTAGTGGAGTGTTTTGCTCTCAGTGAGGAGGAACAAGCAGTTTATCACATGCAGAGCGGAGAGTGCGGGTCGGGATGTCGGGTTGGACCAGGTCCTGGATGGAAGCTGGACCCCATCCATTCACAGCATGCTACGTGAGCACCATGTTTAGAACTGGATGAGCCACCGGTACCAGTGAAGAGAGCGGAGGAGTGTGGGAGAATTTTTTTGGATTGGATTTGGTTTCCCACAGAGATTAAGGAATAGTGGTTAGGAATAGACATCAGCATTAGGGTTAGTTTAGGGACTATTCTAATCCAAAAAAGAACAATGAACCAACCTGAGCGATGAACGGAGCAATCATTCCTCCGATCCGACTAAACGATGTGCAGAAGCCCATCCCCAAAGACCGAGCCGCAGTGGGATACACCTGAGAGACAAGAGCACCTGTTACCTGATCAATATTGTATAACACCCGTTACTTTATTACTAACACCTGAGGCCTGATCAATAAACACGTGTTTATACCTCAGCAGTGTAAATGTAAACCACATTAAAGTTCATGGCAACCAGAGACCGGAGCAGGAACAGCAACACCGTGAACCCAAACCTGGAGAGAAAAACATGCACCCAGACTTAGGTCCTCATCAACAAGTAAAGGCAGCTGCGCTCCATAGATGCTGGGTTACTTGTTATTCCTAGAGTTTTAAAAAGTAGTTCAGTTATCAAGCTCCTCTTTTGTGGAACCAGCTTCCGCTTTCAGTCCAGGGGGGCAGATTCGGTCAGCTCTTTTAAGATAAAGCCTAAAACTTTAGTCTTTGACATCGCTTATAGTTAGGGCTGGCTCAGGTTAGCCTGGACCAGCCCTTAGTTAAGCTGCTATAGGCTTAGACTGCCGCGGGACACACAGAGCTCCTCTCTCTCTCTCCTTCTACAATAATCCACGTTTTATTAATGCACATCACTAATTCAGCTTCCCCAGAGTTTTTGGTGCTTTCTCACCTCACAAGTCTCCATAGATCGTATTTCCGTCTGGACCCCGTTCCTGACTAGCCCGCGGACACATACCATTCTAACACCATTGATATTCCCATTTCTATTTCTCTAAACATGAATGCGCATCACTGACTTTGTTTCTTATATATAGTATTTGTGCTTTCTCACCACACAGATCTCCATGGATCATGGTTCTATCTGGGCCCTGTTCCGGCCTCCTACTGTGGCCCTGCTGACACCTGCAGCTGCTATTATCATCATCATTACTGTCATCATAAACCGACATTACCCTCTCCTAAAGTCTTTGTGCTTCCCTCCCCACAGGTTTCTGTGGATGGTGGTTCTGTGTGATGGTGGTTGTCCCTACAGTGGTCCTACCGTACACCTGCTTACTACTCGCAATCATTTGAACCATTTCTGTAATAGGAATTGAATGTATTGTACATCTTTTACATTGTTCATTCTGTACACATGACATCATTGTAGTCTGTCCATACCACTCCTGGGATGGACAGACTCTTTCTCTCACTGAGGTTTCTTCCCTTTTTTCCCCATGGAAGGGTTTTCATTTTTTGGGGAGTTTTGGGCACTTTCTTGTGCCGATGTGAGGGTTTTGGGACAGGGGATATTGCATGTGTAACAACTGTAAATGCTTCTGAGGTCATTTGAGATTTTGAGCACAAAATAAAATGTATTGAATTGAATAAACCGGGACCCAGTCCAACTGGAGATACTCATAAACCTGCATCCATTGAAACTGTGGGAGCAGAAAGAAATGAAGTCTCTGAAGTTCTTACATGGTGGTGCAGATGTTGAGCATCATGAACAAAATGGCCGCCCCCAGCTGCAGCACAGTCAGACTCATCTTTCGTCCCAACACATTCAGCAAACAAATATTTACTGGGACCACTGGAAGGACAGAGGAGGACAACACGTATATTAACAAGAGACATGTTGGGAATTTCTTGCTCTTCTCCAGTTTCTAAGGAGGTGAAGTTGAGCTGAGGAAAGTCTTCAGAACTCACAGGCCACTTCTCCCAGGCAGCTGATGAGCAGCGTCTGGTAGTCGCTGAGCTGGAAGGCGATGCAGTAACAGAGTCCGTCCTCGTTTCTGTGTTTTACCAGATGTTCTCCATCCGGATCCGTCAAACATAACAAGTTCTTCTCCAGCAGCTCGGAGCTGCCGAGCACCGAGCCGTAGTAGATGAAGGAGGCCACAAACCTGACAGACGAGAGGCGCCACAAAGCAAACCTTTCAGTTAAGATAAAAGTAAATAGAATTCACTTTTGCGTTCAGAATGGAAGCTCTTTGCCAAATGTATCCTGATATACAAAATAGTGGTTCACATTGTCGTCTCTTCTACAGTGATTCGAAAATAGATTTCAATGGCATTATTATCTTTAATAATCCGTTAGGGTCATTATCAATAACATTGTGGTCTCATGCAGGTGGGTCACATCTGACATGTGGTGTCCCACAAAGCTCCATCATTGTCCCCAACACCAACAGGACACTCTGACTGATCCTTTGCTGAACAGTGTCTCATGATGTTGTTGTTTTCCTTTGTTATTGCTTATATTCTTATAGATTACCATGAGAACCAGAGCAGCAAAGACGTCGTCCTGAACGAAGAACCGAGCAGAATCCTCCAATTTCCTCTTTGCTCCTGAGACACATATTATACTGTTATT